TATACTTGTCATATACTCTTAAAAGTATATTCCTGCGTTGCTTACATCTCGATTAGATTAAAGATACTAAAGCTGTAGATTACCCATAAGCTGGGGATTATTTGCCGGCTCTAAAACTATTTTTGATAGGCCTGAAAAGAACGTGCCACAGTATTTCACATCGCTTCAATCTTTAATCCTCTTTAAGTCCAATGAATCGTGCGTTATCTGTCATCGGGCGACCTAATGAAAAAGAGTTCACCCTGCCACATAATTCAGATCATTAGTCCTGGCCAGGCTTACTCACTTTCTCCCAACCCAAGCAGTTTACCTCACCCTCTATCTCCCTCTACTGCCAACCACATTGACCTTTTATGGCCGTGGGCTTGGCAAATCAGAATCACGTGACTTGCCCATTTTTATTGGCAATGCGTTCGCGTGGGTGTGCCTAAAGCAGGCTGCTTTCCATTGATAGAGGTTTGCAGGAGGGCATAAATCAGTTTTAATAGTGCAGCTGGAAAAGTCAAGTTGCCGGCTGTGTCTTCGCAAAAAAAAGAAGAGAAAAAAAGTAGAATCCAAGAAGTAAGTGACTGGGATACGCATATGGGACTTAGCAGTACGTTTAATGAGATTTTGCAGTCGCAAGAGCAACGAGCGAAACCAATTTTATTTGCCATTTCTGTCAGCATTTCGCTGTAGCTTTGTTTTGTTTTGAAGTTTTTTTTGTTTTTCGTTTTTAGATGGCAACATTTTTACTGTCGCATTACGTGCAACATTTGCCCGTTGATTGCTTGGGGATAGAAACCACTACCCCTTATCCCTGGAAAAACACGAGGGCATTGCATAAATTTGTCTAGCTCTTGTTGTTGCCCGAGCTATACAATTTATGCGCTTGTGGCGCCCCAAAATGTGGCGGTGGCTCTGTTGTTCGCTTGCCGAAAATTTGCTAAAATACAACCTAAAATAGCAACCCCAACCGAGTAAATCCGAAAGCAAAAACTTTTGGCCATAAAGCACATGTGACTACGAATACCGCATCAGCATCAGCATCATCCGCACATCCACACCAGCCGTGTATATACTCGCATATATCCTTGCTTATTGCGTATGGATATGTGTTTTCCGAAAATGTATTTGTTTATTTTGCAGTTTTTGTGCACAACATTTTCCGTTTTCCTGGCTTAAAGCTTTCCTCGGCCTGACAAAATCTTTCCTCATAAATCATCCCGAAGCTGAATGCTGAAAATTGTCAGTGATAAGCGCACTGGTTTTCCCGCTTTCAGCTTAGCATTATAAAAAATGTAAAGTTTTTTCCTTGGGCTCCTTTTGATGAATTAACCACAAAGGTTATCAAACAAATTCACATTATGCTTTATACTTGGGTTTATGAAAGCAGGCCTGAAAGAAGGCATTGTTGGTAAAATATTCACTTCAAGCTTAGTTTGATAGATGTTCCCCATAACTTTCCAGACAGTGATGGAATTTGGTTTTCAGGACTGAATAACAGAATATGAAACTCTGATGCCAGCTTCCACATAATTTTCTCCTTAACGTTCATTCACTGTTCTGCAATTGCAAGCCAATCCTCGCTTCTTGCACTTCCTTCTTTATACATAATTAATTTATCACTTGGCTTTCATTTTTATCGCATCGGATGTCGCAGGACCTTCATTTCCCGTTTGTCCCCCCTGGAGGGCAGACCCAAAAGTGACCCGTAATTGCTTTAAATGCCATTACGACACTTACGCACACAGAACGCCGGAGAGTTTTTGGAGTATGAATGTCCATGGTCCGTGTCTGGCTGTCAGCCAGAATCGCTGGGGCCAAGGGCAGGCACTCTGCCTTTAATTTCCCTTGCTGCGCCTGCAATTGTTTTCGCTTTAAATAATTAAATTAAAGTGGGCAGTCAACTGATTGAAGGAGGCTCTGCTGGAGGAACTTGCTCCCGGCTGGCACTTGATGCAATTGTTTTTGGCTGGGAAACTGAGGAAACGAAATGAACTAAAACGAAAAGCGAGGCCAATGACCTCTAACCTGGTGCAATCAGCGTAATTAAGGCAGCAACAGCAACGGCAAACGCCGTGGATGGCTTATAAATCATTTATTGCCAAGACATTATCGCCATCGACTGCTGCTGGTACACGTACTCCAAAGTACACCTCTTTGGCCCCCCAACTCCGCCCCCTCCTGCTTAGAACTCGTTTTGTGCAAATTATGCTACGGAACGCGTTAGTCTATGACAGATTGTATCTGCTAGATACAGCACATAGCCATTGAGCCATAGAGCCATATAGCCGTCGTGGATGCCGACGTGCCGGCACAGCTTTTATGCTGCACGTACCGCTCCCTCTCGGTGTCAATTTATGGCCTGGGTAAATTCTGTAAAAGAACAAGAAATAAAAAAACATATCCAGCACCGACTTTGGAGCAGCTGGTTCCTTGGTTCTCTGTTGGCCAACATCTTGTGCAAATCTCATTTATTTGTGGCTTTGCCACAGTCACACACGAGTTGGAATATCTGCCGCCACATAGCATTACATACGTGTCAATGTGTTTGGGCCTTGGCAAATGCACTTTTGATATATTGGCTATGGGCTTATTGGTTTTCCATCTGGCGCACATCATCGCGTCTGTTGGATTAAATTGCAGGCTGCTTGAAGGGGGGAGGGATTGGATGAGGCACTTTGATTTGCGGCCTCCTATAAATTTCATCGCGTTTGACATGACAATTCAAGGGATGTCAACAGAAGGCAGGCGCCAACTTACAAACAGCATGGTAATCGGATATTCTTATGTGGATGATCTCTTTGGGGCATGCAAAACAGGCTGACTAAACTTGTATTTAATACAAGGGAGTATGCAAAGCCTTCCAAATTGTGGCTAATCGAATGTTTAGTTTAATGAAAGGGCATTATTTTTAGAATATTGAATTTCATGTTCAAAATTTTTCATTAATTGGATAGTAGTTTGTTTTATGCAATGTACAGGCACCATGTCATGAATCATTTAAAGTATATAGTTTAGTACAGTATATTTTATGTATGTAATGTATGTTTTATCTCCATTTACATAGTAACGTAAAGGGTATCCCCTCTTCGCCTTAGTCCAATTTAACCACAAATCACTTGAAACATGTTTGACAATTGTCGTTGGATAACGGCTAAATCGCCATAAAAGTGTATAATAGCCATATAGAGGGCTCATGCCTTGTATTACCATGATTGTGGTTTTGGCCAGGCCATGATCCCAGTCCTGTAAATAGTTTAAGGCAATCTCTGTGGGCAGCCATTGCTATCTGGCTATCTGGCTATCCAGCCTACATGGTTTTGTGTACATAAGCGTATGTGCCGGGACATTCTTGCACATGACTCATAAATAATGTGCAATGGCATGGCCATGGTCGTCACCCAGACGTGACGACGCCTCCAGTTCCCTCGATGCCCTTGGCCATCGTACATCTACCATATTTTGAGGAGAAATAATTTTTGCCAAGTTAATTTGCCATTTCCGGCGACGGCTGCTGTCAGCTTCCGTTTGGCAGAAGGCAAAACGTAGAAGGAGCCTCCCCTTTTGCACCTGAGCATGCTTAATTGAATTTCGCATTTGGCCAAAATTAACAGCCAGTGCAGAAGAGCTTGTTGTTTATTTTGAGTGGATTTTATTTCTGAGCTGTGGATCCAGTGCGTGCCAATGTCTGCGCACTTGAAATGGCTAATGGGGGAACGAGGCACATAGCTGCTGGCATTGCTTTCTGTCCCAGACTCACAGATTCTCAGACCCATGCGTCTTCTAGTGGCGCACTGAACGTCAAAATGCGGCCCCGTTGCCATAAAATTGCCTGAATTTAGCGCTAGGTTGCCGCCGTTTCTCTAGCCCATCTCCAGTTTTGCCAAGTTGCCTGGCAGCGGTCCAGCCTTGTCTCCATCTCTGGGACGGGAGTCCATGCCCAACCATTCCATCGCCATAACCATCGCCATGTCAAGTGTCTTTGCTCTGGGCTTGTTAATCTAAGAGTGGCTGCTTCTGCTCCTGATTCTGCTTTAGCTTCAGCTTCTGCTCTTTGCTTCCTGGTAGTTTCTGCTCCCCGGGCTTTGTTTTCATTACCGACCAAGTCCACATGGCGGCCTATTAAATGCAAAAAGTGCAGACAGCCAGAAAGACAAACGGTCGCCATACCCCCTCCGCCATTCTCTTGGCTTCCTCGAACTGGCCACCGCTGTCATGAGAATTAAATATGCAAGTTGCAGGAGCTCTGTGGCATGTGGCTGGGTTATTAAAGTTAATTACAATTTTTCATGGCATTCATTTTTTCTCGTAACGATAATTCAGATTGTTTTTTCGTATGCCGTGTCCTTGCTCTGTGGCGATTTTTCCACTCTATTAATTTTTGCGTTGATTTATTTGCGGCATCGCATTGCTGTTGCTGTTGGTGCTTCCTTTGTTTACAGACTGTAAAATCGAAGGCAGAGGAGCGATCGCCATGTGGGCTAAATTGAAACTGAATCGATGTGGAGGAATGGGCTTGGCCATTTTCATCTATGGGGGAAAATCCAGTGGATGGGCAAACTGGAGCAGTCACGCAGCTGGGCGGGCATGCTGTTTCTATTAGATTACATGAAAAACTCTTTGATTATCTGCTGATGATAGTGATCGATGCTGGAATTAAATGGCAAGAGATGAAAGCCGCCTCAGATCTCGTCGTGGGTTATTGGGAACAGATTACTGGCACTCCGGCAAAGATAGCCAGAATATAATTCTGAACTTAAAGTTAACTTGCTATTAAGATGAAAGAAATATGGAAAAGAATTCCATGAAGATAGCCATTGTAAGATAGGGGTACAAACTCTGAACTCAATCTTAGCTCACTTTAAAGATCAAAGGAAAAGTTTTGCTCACATTATTCTTCACATTTGTTAAGATTTTTAAGTTATTTGCTGGATCTTTATATTTAAACTTCCTCAAAACTTGCTATTTATATTTCCTAATACCATTTCTAACTTATATTTTTTCTTAACTTTCAGCTGAAAGCGACCTGCTAACCTTTGCACAGCGCAAACAGCACTTCGTGACGGACAAGTCATTCCAGCAGGAGCTCTTCACCGGTGATTCTCGACCGCTGAGCGTTCGCCAGCTTTACACGGAGGCTGGAAAGGAGCTGCCGGTGGCGGCCGGAGCCACTGCCACTGCCCTCGCCTCCTTGGCCCACTCCCAGTCACTAATCCCGTCCCGCTCCATCTCCTTTAATGGTGAGGTGCTGTCCAGCGATCACGAAGTCCTGCAATTAAATGGATCTGCGGGCACGGAGGATCAACTGCTGTGCGTGTCGGAGTTTGGCAATGCCAACCGCAAGCTGCGCACGCGCATCGATGCCGAGATCGAAATCCGTTTGGTGAGTACCGACTAGTGTTTCCCGGGTTAACTGGTTGCCAAGTGTGTAACTGGTTACCGTTAGAAGCCAGTTTCTGGTTACAGGTACTCGGTTTGCAGTTATGTATGTTCCATGCATAAATATTAAGTTTGCCAAACGGAACGGCCGCCCCAAAAACCAGACTACCGACGACCTCATGTGTGTGGTCTATGTGGTTGCCACTTCCTTTAATCCAGCAGCTGGTTTGCCTCCGAAAGCTAATGCCAAAACCCCCTTTCGTCGACCAACTGTCGTCCAACAATTTGCTCCACATAGTCCGCATGGGCACCCAATCATTGTCATGGCTCTTTGGTGCTGATGATGATGACGGGCAGCAGGAATGGGAACTGGAACGAGCAAGCAGAGACCACACACATCTATCCATCCATCGCCTATCTGCCGTTTGCTAATGGCCAACGAGGAGCAGCTCATGGCATGACTCCATCAACGGCGCAGCAAATCATTTCGAGTTAGTTGACTCGTTTTAATTGCCCAACTGGCGTCCCACGCCATTGTGGCTCTGCAAACTATGATGCAGTCGTTAGGGAAGATTTTGCAGACTGCATTTGGGTTGAATAAATCCATTGAATCTTGACAGTTTGATTAGGGCATCTTAATTAGACATTGCTGGCGGAGTTTAAGACTCGCAAAGAAAACGTTATTAGTTTGGCAAATAGTCTTGGAGCTCGAGAAATAATTTGAATAGGATGGAAGACATTCTTAAATCTCTTAATTAAATTATGCGAATCCCAAAACAAAAGTATTTTCGAGAATCCTTAAGGGCTTAGCTCCTGTATTTGACCATCCTTGAATCTCAGTTATATGAATCCTTTCACTATTTAAATTGAAAGGAAAACTTAAGGATTACTAAAACAAAGACTGAGATTTTGTTATTTATTTTGACTATCACGTCGCCAGTTCTATGAGCTGATATCACAAAATTGCAGTTAATTTGAGCTAACGCGCTTTGCAGTCATCCCATTTGGTCCCCGTCTCCAGCTCTGATTCCGTCTTTGTCATCGCCGTCGCCTCTTGTTTATCTTTTAGCCGGGCCATTAGATAAGCTGTGCAAAGACAAACAGCCAATGGCCAATATCTGCAGACGAGGATGCCAAAGGCAACGAACACCAACTCCAGTGACTTTAGTAACTACGGCAGCAAAATCTCGGCGACGTCGACGAAGACGACAATAACACCAACAACTTGGATCCCTGTTCAATAGGTTGCCAAACTTGTTTTGGCAAAAACAGCGCCGGTTGTCAATCCCAGTCGACTGTCGCCAACTCTCCTCCTGCTCCTCTGTTTTTTTCCCCTCTTTTTCCAGCTCCATTGGTCTTTTAGCTCCATTCTGTCGAATGCTTCTTAATAAAATGACTTTTAATCCTTTTCGCATTGCGTTTGACGTTAGTTGGCCTCACTCTTACGCTCCGATACACCCCAAAAAAGAGGTCCAAAGACATATCCCCAAAGAGAAGTCCAGACATGAGTCCAGAGTCAAAGACGACGACGGCCTGGCCATTAGCGCTCTGCGGTTTATTGGTTACGGCAGCCACTATCTCCAAGATGGCCCATTTGGGTGGCGGTACTTCTTGTTGTTGTTGCCGTCTTGACGGCACTTAAATTGCATTATTATATACGGCTCGACATTTATGTGCAAATATTTTATCGTTAAAACTTGGCCACATTTGCTCCGCTTCATCCATTGAGGGAAAACAGCTCGCTGAGCCGCTAAAAGAATTTGGCTGCTGCTCTTAAGAAAAGGAGAAAGAGCCCAAAGCCCAGACTCATTGTCGGATTCAGGCATTTCTTTATGGTCCGAACTGCCTCACTTTTGGCCATTGGAAATCTAGCTCAAGTGTCTTTTTATGTAGATTTTCCATAGTGTGGGTGGGTGTTTCACTTGGGCAACTTGGAGGGGAGGGGATGGAAAACTGCTGACTTGGGGGACAATGTAAGGTCCCCCATTCCACAGTTATTTTTCAATTGTTACAATTGATTCAAGCAGTCGAATCGAAAATCAAATGAAACGATTGTGCTTTTTCCTTTATGCGCGTAATTCACTTAAAACTGGCAGACAATTCGAATCTGGGGGAATGTTTGTCCAAGGCAAAGGGAAAATCGTCTACTTTAAATTGTTTTTACAATTTATTTATTGATTTCCTTTGGAATAAAATTTAGTTCTTTATAGTTCTCTTTAAATACAACACAAGAAATACGAATGTTAAGCAAATATGTTTGCTATCTTTCTAAAATCCAATGAGAATAGTAAACCTTAATGCCTCAAAACCTTCATTCTAAACTAGACCAAAGCTGTTAACAGGAATTGCTCTTTTTCGAAAGTTCTCTACGGTTTCCCTTTATTGTTTTTAATTAGGCTGATTGATTTCGGCTTTCATAACAACAAACAATGTAGGATGCGTGTTACATTTTGGAAGATTTAAAAATCGCGTGACTTGTCTCAATTTGCGGAAAGCATAGAGAATGTTTGCGCAAACATACAGCACAAAGTGGCAGAGTACATTTCTCATAAAGGGATATTCGTGACAGGCGGCTCTCCGGTGCGGCTAATTAAGGACCTGTCCGCCAGAACATGAAACATACAACATAGGTGGAACATAAAACAATATTTTTGCATGCCAAATGCTTAATTAAGTCGATGTTTTAACTTTTTTTTCCTGTTTGCTTCCATTTCAGCCCGCTGCTATCGAGGATCTGCGGAAATGGACATCCAGCGAGGCGCTGGGTGATGTCACCGTCACGCCGGATTGTATGCATCATGTGGACACCTCGGTTAGCACCTCGCTGGTAATCGGCGAGAATGGTATCCTTACACCGGCCCTATCACCGTCCGTCCTCTCAGCCGATGCAGTCGATGCTCTTTATTCCCAGAATATTAGCCAGGCGGCGGACAGCTCCAGGCATAATCACCATACGCAGGCCCTCATCCCGAACGATATCAATAAAGATGTGCCTTTGAACCATCGCTTGCCTTCACCCGAGGAACAAACCAAACAGATTGCCTTAAAGTGAGTGTGAATCATGAATTATTATTATTATGAAATACAGATATTATTTCAGATATCAAAACTGAAATCTATATTTCTATCAAATGAGACTTCCTAATGTAACTTTCAACAGTTTGAGGCGAATTGTTCTACGCTTACAGTTATACAACGACTGTACCTTGTCTATCGTTTTTCCTTTATTTTAAACATGATTTTAATGCGTTTTTTATGCAAATTTCGCGGCAACTATTGTTTGTTTTTCTGTTCTACGACGCACAAAAAAGAATAGCTATTAAAAGCGTTGTTTGTTTCTGCTATACAGTTTTTCAACGTTCGATTGTCTGCGCTTGGAGCACGAGATGTTTGCTCAGCGAGCGCATCGGGCGAAAAAAAAAATGCTTAAATAAATTAATTCAATTACGTATGAATATTTACAATGCGGCCACACAATTATGCAAGTGTCGCCGACCCCGCTCCCTGCCAATCCATTGGCCCCACGGCCACGCCCGCCACTGATATCCATCCCGGGCCATGGCTCATTTGTTAGGCTTTTTAAACTCCGAAATGGAGCAGCCGCCACACAGACGAACCGAATTCACGCTCCAACGATTTGGAGCACGAAAAATGTGGTTGGCTGGCTGGTATTAAAGCGTAAACAAATTGTTGTTTGGATAACCACAAAAGTGCACTCCAAACTGCGCGAGTTTCCCATTCGATCGATCAGTTTACATCTGCAGGCACTCAGAAAAAAGAATATATATAGGGTTTTCATAGCCTAAAAATAAGTTTTTTGCGTTCTTTTAATGTGGAAAATGGCGTTTTTACAATTAAAGGATATATAAATGGTCGTTTAACTCTACTACTATTTATAATTGTAGTATCCTAATTATAGTATTTTTTTGTTAAAATATTCTCTGAAAAAGATTACCTGTACATTAATTATCGTTCAGCAAAAGTGCTTCAGAAAATATAAATTTTTGGTACAACAAATTGATATTTAATCGTGCATATGGCTGATCTAGTTATGCAAGTCCGGCTACTTGAGTTTATTTAGGTCAGAGATCTTACCAAATCATTTTTTCTACAGCATTTTTAAAGCATGATTAATTGAGTTACTAAACCATCTCTGCATTTTCCCACCCAAAACAGATACCCCGCCGAAGTGATTTCGGTGAATACCAGCGGGAAGCACTTCCAGCGGATGTGTGCGGCTCGTAAGTCCACCAGTGGGGGTTACGCGGGCGGTACCACTGCCGGATCCTCGAGCAGCACATCGCCGGAGAACGCTGGCCAAGTAGACGGCAACAACCTGGACGACAATGTGCAGACTGTCAGCCGGAGGTCAAGATCACGGAAAGTGCGAGGCAAACGGCGGAACACGATAGCCGGAATCGACCAGAAGGAGATCCAGGATGCGGCCAATGGGTATGTACTAGAATTATTCTACCTAACTATCTGTCTATATGTGCTCCTATATGGACAGGTGTCACCTTTTACTTCCTTTCCCCCCTTCGTTCGCCTCTCGAACTGTACATAAGCCATACTAAAACTCGTATATACATGTATACATGTGTACTACACCCTGGAGAGATCCCTGCGGATCTGTCCAGAGATTATCCATAGCCGCCTTATTTTCAATAGCATTTTCTTATGAGATTATTGTGATCAGCCCAGTTAGCTGAACGATTTGTTATGCTGTTTAGTTTTCTTCGTTTGCCTAATTTCGTGTATTTTAATTGCGCCTTTTATTGTTTAAACAAATGCCTGGCCGACTGTACAAATCGGAGTTTTGCGCCATTAACTATTAGCGTATATATATTGTTTGCCCAATTAGCAGCACAAATTGCATGCCACCTGAACTGAATGTGTCTAAATTACGATTAAAAAATAACTAAAATTGATTGTTGTACAAAGAAAATTGTAAATAAATTGTGTTTCTAGATGTACGTAATTAGAAAACTCTAGTCAAATTCAAATTTCAGCCGCTTTTTTGCGAAATTGAGTTCGATAACGATTCGGCAGCGGAAACTAAAGCATTTTTGGATGATTTTCAAAAGCGAATTTTGCGAAACAGCCTAACAAATTAAACGATTTTCAGCAGCCGCATAATGTATTATCATAACACACTCATACACACAGTCATACACCTCATGATCCATCCGAGACACCCACCCATTCGACGCCCCCGCATTGTTATCCTGGTCGCGAACCACCCACACACCTCAGCAACATTTGTTGCCAGCAACATTCGAGGTTGTTGGCCAAGTCTGTCAGTCAGTCGGCCCACTCTCGGCCAATTCTGGTGCATCATCAGCATAAATCATGCGAGAGGCTGGCTTCATAGGATTTGCCAAGACCCAAAGGCAACACAAGCCCCAAAGCAACACCAAGAACAAAATAAAAAAAACTTCAAAAATATCAGCAACACCACCAGCATTTGCCGCATTCGAGATGTTTTTACTTGGGCTCACTGCTTTTCTACTTTTCCTGTGCTTTTCAAATGGCACACACGACGCCTTTTGCTAAAAGTTTCATAAATCTTATTTTGTTTTGTTGGCCCGACTTTCGGTTGGCGTCTGCCCACAAACTCCAACTCAGTCCCGAACTCGGCGACGGCGTCATTCCATTTGACTGCGTTCTACATACTACATAGTATATGTGCAACTTGAAACCCCAACTCAGACACACACTCACCCTAAATATATATATATACGTATATACGTACGTGTGCCCCATTATGTCAATGCTGTTCGATATCTGTGCGATCAGCAGTCGAAAATGCGGAGCACAGCGAAAACTTTGAGCCCAGGACAGTGGCTGTCAAACTGTAAGTGCATTTCGTGATTGTTTGTTTTTGTTTGTACACGGAAAGAAATGTTAAGGGAAAGCTTTTCCAACAAATATTAAAAGTCATAATCGAATGTTTAAAAGAAAATAAATTTTTTTATAAATGCGCAGTAATTATTTAAATATATTAATTTGAAAAATAAAAAAGTTTTTACGTGCATTTATTTTCATAATAAATCAAAAAGTTTTTCGTTCTGTCCACTGAAATATAGTAAAAATGTTTTAGCAACGAATGCACTTTGGGCGCCGCCCCTTCTGAAATCTCTGAAGTCCCCTTGATTCAAGTTGTTTGCTGGCCCAGAATCAAATGAGTCGTCTTCTTATCGCCAATATTGTGCCTCATATTCTCCCGATCGATCCCAGCATGCCACACAGTCTTGTGGGGGAAGAATTCTGGGAGAATTTTACCCACTTGAAAACATAGATGTTGTAATCGCCTTTAATAATCCACTGAACAGCCTCAGCAGCGTGGGGAAAATGAAAAATATAAATGTATTTGGAAAAATTAAACTTTGAACTGCGCCATTAATTAATTTTCAGTGAGTTGCTGGTGTTTTTTTTTTTTTTGTTTTCCCCCTTAAAGGCACGTCGTGTATTTTGCATCTGTGTGTGCGTGCGTGAAATTAACCAGAAACATAAATTTAAAACCAAATCAAAGTCAAATTAAGAATCATGTCTGAAAATTGCTCACAATAATTTCCATGAGGAAGGCAAATCTGTACTACTCATTCTCTCTGTCTCTATCACTCTACCCACTCTTCATCTCTCCCACATGTCCATCCATCATTACCAAAAATGCTAACCAAATACCAAACATATTTTCTCTTTTATGTTGTCTCCTAAACACCAAACATTTTGCACACTGAAAAACACAAAAAACAAAAATCCACAAATAATTCCACCATGTAAACAGCAATGGGGAGTCCAAGAATGCCTCGAATGCCACCTCTCCGGTGGCCCCAGCTCATCAGGCCGAGTCCACCTCGACGGATGCCAAGAAGTCCAAGAAGTTTCGGACGCAGCAAGTCCAGCGACATCTTAAAAAAGGAATCTGCTGCCTTGCCCTACGACAAAGGCAAGAACACCCTTACCAGGCTGAACTCCCTGAAGCAATGGGGTCGCAATCGATTCAAGTTCATGCATCGCACTGGCGAACTGGTCGACCAGTTGGACACCAGTGGCTGCAGTTCCCAGAACAGTTCTGCGGAGAAAGCGGACAGCCATCATGGAATGCCAGCGGGCGAGAGTCCCAAGCGCGACATCGACGAAGAGTGTGTGGTGCATCATTTAGTGGCCCAGAAGAGTGAATCTCGGTTTTCGCACGAACGAAAGCCCTCGTATTCCTCTTCGGAGAAGAGCATGAGTGTTTCCAGCAGTGGCCAGCTCAGAGGCAGGCTACAGCTGTCGTCTGTTTCCGGACCGCTTTCTGCGGCACATGTAAAGATGCGGGAAACAGCCACCTTGAACAGGCAGCGACGAAATGGTCTCCATGCTCTGGCTGGCAAGGAAGAACAGCCACATTCCTCTAGTGGCAACTGGAGTGCCAGCTCGGAATCGGGACGTGCCTCCATTGGCAGCGAGATCACCATGCAGCCAAAGTCGAGTGCCTCTAGTACATCCCTTAATGTGTCCAGTTTCCAGCCGGGTGCAGGTAGCGGACCTCCATCGTCCATGTTGAGCAGAAGGCGTTTTCTGAACACTTCCGCCTCCAGCAGTGTGACTAGTGAAGGCACTGCCACCCCCGGAACTTCAGGCGGAGGCGGGTGCCTATCCGGGTCACCTTGATGATGAGACGAGTTCCGCTTACAGCTGCGACACTGAGGGTTACTACACTTCCTTCCATATGGACAGCGGATTACGCACACTAAAGGAAGAGGAGCCTTCGCCAATGCCTGGAACCCCACTCCAGACGAGCTTACACACCAGCAGCTACTCCTTCGGTAGTCAGTCCAACCAAACGGTGCTCAATGCGGAGAATGAGTATGAGCTATTTGGCAGAGGATCCACATCCACCACAACCAGTTCGGCTGGTACAGTGTGCACAGCTTTGATGAGTGGAGCCACATCTGGGCCAGATGTACCCGAGCGGAGCAGCTCACTGGGCAAGCACAGTGGTCAGAGTCGGAGCCAGAGCACCAGTGCCAGTAGCAGCACTCTGGAGAGGAGTTATAGCAGCAGTACCATTGGAAGCACCCTGGAGAGAACAGGTACCATCAAGAGGAATGTAAAGATGTCACCAACCAAGGGAGAGGTATTGGAAAAAGAGGGTCAGCAAGAGCAAGATCAGCAGCAGCAACTGGAGTTCTCTGAGAGCTCTGATCTGGAGGGCGTGGAGCGCATTGAGCGGATCAAGCAAAAGACGGCTATTAGCTCCAAGAGAATACCGTCCATGTGCATCATTACACCCACTACCAGTGACGACGATGAGCACCAGGCCATGGATCCAAATCGCACACTGACCAGCCTGACTATCGAGGTGGACCAGGAGGATCAGGACGATGATGAGCCTGAGCAAAAGACGCCCACGAACAGCAAGGACCACAACCTAAACGAGCTTAAACAGACGCCCACGAAAGCGCTGAGCGGAATGTTTGAGAAACTAAGGGTGAAACTGGTTCCGGGCAAAAGCTCTCCGTCCAAGAATCAAATCCAGCCGAAGCCCGCCAACGCGAGTGCCGTGAATGACGACGAGCTTTACGATTTAGCCGGCGAGTACGTCACCATAGCAGACATTAGCAACAACAACAATAACAAGAACAACAACCGACGTAACACGGGAATGGGTATATACTATTCCAATGACATAGTTTCAAAGAGGGTTGAACCCTCGTCTGCCATTGTTTCCGAGTATGTTTCGCTGAACGAACTGCCTCAGCACTTGCGTCGGCATGCGGTCTCGTCTAGATCTTCTCCGCGAGCGGAGAGCGAGTCCTGCGCACAACAACAGCTGCCTGCTGAGCCGGCAGCTGCGACAGCCCAACCACCACCCATCGGCAGCAGGATTAAATGTCAATCCACGGGGGTGGGCGAGGGGGTGCCTATGTACGCGGAAATCGGCGAACTGAGCGAAGAGAAGCCGCTCGCATCGGCGAATCGTCGACTGCGTCCGAACGCCGAGGGGAAATTGGTCTACGACTCCGACAGTCTGAAGCGACGCAAGGGCGCACACACCACCTTCGCACCTGGGCCATACGTAAAGGAAACCGAAAGTGCGCTACACAGTGCAGAAAGTGCAGCGGCGGCAGCAACATCATTACAGGATACAGGAGCTACAACAGGATCAACATCAGGAGCAACCACCAAGAGCGCCAAGCTTCTTCTTTTTGGTGGCGGCGGACTAATCGCTGGCAATCGTAAGGTGGCCAATGTGAGGCCCATTGTGGCTAAATCCCCGCTTAGCAGGAACAGCAACGGAATGGCCACCTATCAGGGAACCAGCTATCAAGACCAGAAACAACTCCTGGCCAACAGAACGAATCCCTTTTACGAAACGATTGCCGCACCCGTGGCCAATCTGATGATGCCCTCGCCATCGGGCAAGTCGAATTCATCCACCGGTTCCACAGCCACCAGTTCCTCCTCGTCAGCATCGGGCCACTCCGGTGAAGAAGGTAAGCCAGAGCAGCTCCAGTCAGTCAGCAGCTGCCCCACCGCTTGCCAACCACCCACAGTCAAACCACAATCCCTATCCGCATCCTGTTTCCCTGTAAATAACACCGCTACCACTGAAACGTCTGTTAAGAGCACCCTTAACCACCATATAGCCAGCAAGTCAGTGGGCAGCATATCAAGTGTGAGGGAGCATCAGCCCCAACAGCATACGCAGCAGCAGCATCAGCATCAGCATCAGAACCCCAAAGATGCCGAGTCGAAAGTGAGGGTTGTTGAAATGGAAACTAACCCCCTGGGGGATGAGTTTGAATTGGGGGAACAAGTGCCACCCTTGCCGCCGAGGGCGAAAGTAAACGACAAACCTCCCACCAAGCCCCTATCGATTGACCCAATTGCGTTGCACTTTTCCAACGGTGATAATCCCGGCCAGCCGCGCACCGCTCTCAAGCGGAATAACAGCTACCGGCTGGCCAACGATGAGCTCAAACTTGAGATGAACAAGGAGAATCTCTCAGTGTCCTTCGGTTCCGAGAGAGCACCTAGTTCGGGTGCAATGCCCCTAAATCCAGTGCAGCACGCAACAAGTTCCCTTAGGCTGCGCAACGTGAGCAACCACCTGCCCGCCAACACCCACTCACCTGGCGGGGAGCGGCGGATAGCCAAATCCTTTGAGCGCCTGGTGGATGAGTTTTCGCTGTCGCTAACCACTGGTAACGATTCCTCTTATCTGAAGAACAAGTCGCTCGAAAATTTCGATGACTCACCCGCCCTGTTAACCATAGCTTCGCCTGAACAAAGGCCAGACGATAACGCCTCAGACTCCGAGTCCGAAGAGGACGAGGAGGAGATGGCTCCACCCTTATCGCTGTCTCTGCCAGCCCAAAAGTACCACAAGTCTTTTGTGGACAGTGTTCTGTTGCGTCCGTTTAAAATTATCCTGCCCAGCGACGAGAATGGAAACCGTCGTCAACGTATTTTACAGAAATTCGAGGTTACGGAGATATGGTAGTTAGTCCCTTTCGCGTCTCTTGAGCAAACACTACACCGTAATTGCCGAGATTGGCACGGCTCAAAAGAGCCCCCAGACCCTTGAGCCACCTAGTGTGTGTGCCTCATTAAAGTTGCATGCACTTGGCCAGACGTGTTCGTGTTCAATTGGCCACACAAGTTGGAGGTCTGTTCCATCCTTGGGTTCAATGTCCAATCCCGCTGCCGCACTTGATATGCTGCTCATAGTCTTACTCCTATTTTTAAAGTTAATTTCCCAGGAAATTTTTCCAATGCATACTAGTTATAGAGACCAGCTGGCTTGCAAGACTAAATACTTTAATCTGTTTATACAGTTCGCAATCCAAAACATTTACACAAAAATGATAAATATACTAAACTTAGTACTTAATATCTTTATTTGTAACCAAACCGTGTGTATAAACAAAGTATTAATGCCTTTTTGATTTCAAATTTTGCTCGTTTAATCAGTTACGTGTGTGTTTTTTAACCTTAGCTTTAGTGATTAATAAATGTTAATTGTTTACATATAAATACGTTTGTAACTAATTATAATTAACATAAACCAACACATGATTATTGTACATTTTGTAAAGTTTTTTGCACCGTTCACGTCCTGTACATCGCCATAATACTCAACTACCACGATTTAGTACATAAGTTTAAGTTCGTCCCCGTCTATGATGCTAATTTTTTGAGTTTTTTAATTTCAAATTACCTACTCATTTTCCAAAATTGACGGATTGTGAGGCGTGCAAAAGACTTCTATTGCATTTTTTAACCCAATTGCTTATGTGTTTGTCTATGTTATACAGTAGTAGTAGTTTTTTGCACACTCCCTCCGACTAACGAATTGCTAGTAGTATCCACGAGTAGTTTAAAAGATTAGCACATGGCCTAACCAGTTAAGTTCTCGGCTAAGTTCAACCACATTCCATTAAAAAAATCCAATTTACCACCGATCGTAAGTAATGTTTTTACAAAAAAAAAAAAGAAAATAAATCGAAAAGAAACCAAAATTCGGCATTGACATTATCATTGGCATTTGGTGTGCGGTAAAGGAATCCCCATAATTTTAGTCGAACCATTCCATCCACAAGCATTTAAGCATCCACAACCACATTCGCATTTGCATCCCTGCACCCATGCACCAATTGGCATTTGTAAATATTCGCTCAGCTCATTGGGATTTGGGGGATTCCCAGGTAATGTCATCCAAAACGCCAAGGTACGTATGGAACCGCTTGCCCTGAACGCTTGTTTGATTTAATTACCCTAACGATCCGCACTTGAAACCGCTTACTAATCTGAAAAGGAATTTTGGTATAAGAGACTCCAGTTTCTAATCCGCATTTAATTATTCTTCCATCCTCAGGGTATCAACGTTTCTCTAATATATATGAGCAAGTGCAGCCAGCACCGACCACCCAGCCAAAAGAAGACGCAACTGCCACGCCCTTCCAGCGCAATGCGCCCATTTACTGGACGCTGCAGAGTCGTCGCAGCCAGCCGAGGCCACAGCCCACTGGTAATGTGACCTGTCGGGATGACCTCTATGCTACGCCCATTCGAAGGGCCGACCGTTTGCCACGCCCAGTGGCGGCAAATGAAACTACAGCGGAGGGAAACAGGAGCAACATATCCCCAATCGTGCCAAGGAATCGTGCCGGAGCCTTCCTAACCTCTACACCTACGAGGAACGGGGAAGGGGAACGAGATCTAGAAAACACACAACTGCCCCCCATGAAGCAACCATCCCGTAACTGGACAGACGATGCTCCCGAACGCCTCAACACCTGTGCCGATCGCATTGGCCAAAGCAAAACCACGCTGATGGACTTTAAGAAGCTGCTATTGGCCAAGTCCGCCAAGGCGAGCCCAGTCCAGAGGAAAGTATCCGCCGTGGAGCTGCTCAAGAAGTCAACTCAAGCCACCCCAAATCCACCTACTTTGAAAACCTCTGGAGCTGCTCAAAAAGTAACATCAGCTGGAAGCAAACCCACGATCAATACCAGCCTGAAGCTGTTAGATCTGAGTGGCTCACCCAAGACGTTCGCCAACCGGAGGATGCTCCGACAGGGTCAATTTGGATCGCCCTCCAAGACCTTCGCTCCAAAGATGCGAGGACCCGTGAACATGGTGGCAGCGGCAGCGGCACCACCGCGGACGGACATCATGTCAACCACGATTCCGGAGGCGAATAGCGAAGAGGATCAATCCAACACCAGCGGAGGATCGCGGGCCAGTTCCGAGGCAGGCGAAGCCGTACCCTCCAGCTTCGACCTAAAGCGAAACTTCTTTCTGCAAACAGAGGAAAACAACTTCATGCGTGGGGAGCTGAAGCCCAGCTTTGCTAGGACAAATGGAGCACCTGGAGTAGCCAACGTTGAAAGCAACAAGTACGTGGCAGCACCTGTGGCGAACCCTTCGCTGCCCTCATTCGAAACGGCGTTGTAGAGTGGGTCTAACCCACTGCTGTAGCCATCGATAACACATATTCCATAAGAAAAGAACCCATAATCAGATGAGCAATTCCCTTCCGTAGCCAAGCCGATACTGCATTTATTGACGGACGGAAACGAGTCAGAAGCGATGCTACTTTATGCAACATATACATATATCACTATATATATACACAACACCTTTATACAATAAACTGTATTTTTTAAATTGTGCTGCTTGTATAAACGAAGATGTTTTATACACAAATACGAATCGTCTATACACCTACAATATATTTATTTGTAATTTTACGTTATTTATTGCAATTATGTATTACGCTACACGCATTGCTCTTTGTTTTGTAGTACAACTCTTGTACGTCTACGAACTGATGAGAATCGCTTATAAATTAAAAACATTGGATAACAGATTGGAAACACTTGGCAGTTCTTATTTGGAGGGTCTAATTGTCTAGATGGTAATCTGGATGTGGGAAATGTATAAAAAATTTTAACTTTGTTAAAGTTCTGAATGCTTGAAAAAAACCTTCAATGACTCAAAGTTTCAAAGTTATGGAATATCTTGTTTGATTCCTATTGTATGTTTGGAAAGTATATAAATATTCCATAAAAACATACAGAAATTTTAATGAAATTATAACGCAACTTTTTAAAATTATATGTATTTTTAATATGAACGTATACCTAAAAGTCCGGGCACTACAAAATTTGAATTTAGCTTTTTTGATTTGGATTATAGCTTTTTAGGCTACATAATGTTATTCGAACGTTTTTTAAATGGAATGCTTGTTTTTGAACTACTTTTAAAAACAGAAGTTATTACTTTAGTTTTTATCGAAATTCTGATGAAGAGTAATAATACCCCTCGGAAATGTAATGGTTGTATTGCTTCGCTACCTATCTTTCTAAATCCAACTACGTCCCACGCTGCCCGACCTGCGTTTGGTAGACTTGTCCCCCAGGGAACTAGCTGCCTGGTCCTTTCGACCCATCACAGGCGAACTGCCGGATCCGATGTTACGTATAAGCTGCTTTAGGCTCCGAGCCTGGGCGTCGCTGGCCTGACTAACGCTGTTCGCCTCAGAGGCAATGATGCAAAAGTCGTCGACAATATGGCCGGGCGGACTTATATCAAAGGGCAGGATGTCGCTAAGACTTTGCTGCTGGCGAAAGACACTGCGTCGTCGGGCACCAACATCGCCACCTCCAATGGATCCTCCGCTGGGTCCAGCGGCAGAAGTTCCCTGCTGCTGTTGGTTCATCTGGTGTAGTTCCTGCTGAAGGTTGAGAAGGCGAGTCCGCAAACCGGCATTGTCCTCGCTGAGGCGCTGCATGTGAGCGGCTTCCTGCTCTGCACGCACAAATGTGGGCTGCGGCAGGCACTGGTAGACGGTGGTCAGAAAGTTACGCAGCGACAAAAGCAATGTGTCCTTGCCACTGTTTTGTGAAGAATAGGGCAAAAGTGGGTGACTCCTCGGCATTCTTGCAAAAGGGGAAATCTGTAATAAATTAATAATTATAAGAATAACATTTTCCAACGGAAGCCCTTGTCTTAGCTTACAAAACCAGTCCTTCCATTCACTTTGCTGCTGCAAATCGCCCGCCAACTTATTGAAAAACTCAGATACCTTTTCAGGACGATTGCTGCTATAAGCGGTCACCAAATAGTATTTCAGCAGGCTATTTTCCAGTTTCTTGACAGCTGCAGGTGATAAGTCATGAATGGATATATCAATCATGATATAGGAATTGTAATATAAAACTTACCCACGGCGTAGGTATGTTCCAGCTTGGAAAATATGTTGTTGTCCAGGTGAAACCACAGACCTCTAAGAGCCTGGAGATCAGAAGTTTGCACAGCATTATTAAATTGCTCTAAGATCCTCTCGGCTCGGAAGTGCTGATCCTTTTCTGTGCGCTGCTCTAAGTCGAGAGCCTTCAAGGTTCCCGAGAATCCTCGAAATACCAGGTACTCTCTTAGAAGGTTGTCCAGAAAAGCGACTTGTGCCATTTTCTTGTAATATTTGATTGTTTTCAAAAAGGTTTTCTACTTATTTGTTTAATTTTCACAATATACTGTAGTAGAAGAAGAAGACAAACAGCTGGCATCGAAGAGTTGCCAGTTTGTACAATAAGGTATATTCAGCTTTTTCGATAGTATCGGATTAACCTAGACCCTTGTTCCATCTCCACATTTAAGAGCACATTTTGTAAACAACACTTTTCTTAACAAAATCTATTCAAATCTGTAAACATGCACAAACGCAAAACTGCTAAAACGATAAATAAACCACCACCGATCCAGGGGGCTGTTAAAAAGACCACACCAGTAGCAGATCCTCCAATCGACCAGAACATGGTAACCCAGTTCGAAGTGGAGCTCTGCTGGTGTGTCCAGCAATTGCAGAATTCACTCGCCAGCGGAAAACTTAGCCAAAAAGTGGCTGAAGATACCTCCAAAAATATAAAGGTCCTAACCAGTTCCACAGCACCGCTCATTAAGAAGCGCCAGGTGATGAAACTTTCCTTGGGCGACTACCGATTGAAAATGCAACAGGAGGAGCAGAAAATGCAGTTGGCCCCCAAGCAAGTCAAATTTATTGGCGCAAGCATCCCTACCAAAAAGTCCAGTTTTGTGAAAAAGTCTGCTGTTTTAACATCTGGAAAGGATTTTCGCTTCAATTTTTCCGTTCCCGCCGATGATTCTAATGCAAAGGAGCCCCAGCCGGCTCCAAAATTGCAAGCCATTTTCCAACAGAGTTCGTCCGGAAGCCCCTTCAAGTTTAACTTTTCTATCGATGAGGATTCCGCCAATGATATTAGCTTTAACGGCTTGAATTTAAATAACTAATTATTATTTCAGTTTCGATGGGCGAAATGACTGATTGATGTCAGTTGAGCTGTTTTCTACTTCCTATACAAATAAATGATTTATTTTAAAAATTTAATTTTTTTATTATATTACTATACTATTTCTTCTATAAAAACGTTTATAGGAACTTTAACAATAAATATACGTATACATAGATATACAGATGGGTGCATAAATTTATTTTTTTCTTAATCTCAAAAACCTAACTTCCAGCATTGTTAGTTCTTATTATTATTAATTAACGTTATTCAAATATTAATTAAAACTGATTAGATATCCTTATTTGAAATGGTTAGTAATAGTAAAGTCCAAAGACTAAATAAGCGATCATTACATCTCACGCCTAGTGTTCATTGTTTTATTTATAGTTTTGCAGAGAACACTTCCATGCTATATATGTACGTATATAATGATCATGTCGAAAGTCGACGTATATGATGGGAAATGCTCAGTCCTCTCCGAAACGCCAAATGACCAACAACGCCCGCATCGAAAACACATCCTCGGAGGGACATGAAGGGGATGCCACCTGTGTGGCGTATTTCAATAAGCAAGTGTTCTCCGGAGGCGCCGACGGTAAAATTCGAGTGGGTATTTTGCGTTTCCCACACTTCGATATCGTTTAATGTTAACGTTTCCTTGCAGATCTGGTCACCGGAACTGCAACTCTTGGCTACTGTGAACGCTCACAAGGCTTACATATACTGCATAGCCATAAATCAGCACGGAAAGGTATACTCGAGCAGCTGCGATGGTCAGGTTCACTTTATGCTACCTCCTTATGGAGACGAGTCCGTAGAGGAGCTATTCCGCTGTGACGACGCTATCCAGGCGATGTACTGCGACGGATCCGTGCTTTATACGGGAGATGACAAAGGCGTGGTGACCACCTGGAGCAACGATCGCATGCTTTTCAAGTACAATTTGGTAGAGGAAGTTAAATCGCTGGCGGGCGAGCAAAAGCTCATTTACACGGTTCGGGATCTTGACGTGGTAGTATCCCAGGTGGCGGAGGGGAAGTCCGGAAAATACAGCAACAAGGCGGTAATCGCAGGCAAGTCGCCGCTCCGTCTTCTAGGCCCATTAGTAGATGGAAAACGCAGCTACCTCGCATTTCCCGATCGTTCTGGAATGGGTCTACAACTGGTTAGCAATCTCCCCCAACAGCAGTATACCCAACTTTGGCACGTTCCAGTAAGTAAACTCTATAGATATTCATTTAAATACAAGATTTATGATCCAATTATAGGACTGTCACGAGTGGATCGTAAATGCAATATGCGGGGATGAGACTTATATGTACTCTGGTGGCTATGACAAAAAGGTTAAGGCATGGACCGATTTGGGATTAGTGCAGCCAAGAGCCCTGGGTGAGGTGGATGTGGGAAGCTGGGTAAACAGTATATGCTGTGGTGACAACAAGGTGGTTTATATAGCAAGCAGCGGTGGATACATACGTAGTGCAAAGTTTGTATAGTTATCTCACAAAATAGAAAAACAAAATTTATTAACACATTAAAACTAGATTCATTTTACAAACTGGCCTTAAACTCTTGTCTGTGCTCCAAGTTATCGAATCCCACATGTTCCTCTATCCACCGTGCTACAGTGAGCAGTAACTGCTCGTTAAGACTGTTACTCATCAGTTGAAGGCTCAATGGTAATCCACCCCGGGACAGACGAATAGGTATGGACACGGCAGGAATTCCAGCCATATTGGCTGGCTGTGTGCAAAAGTCCTGCACTGCGCACTGATCCCTGTTGGTCAGGGAGGCGAAATCTTTGTACAGAGGAGCCTCTGTAAGAGTTGTTGGTGTGAGGAGAATGTCCACGCGCTCCTCTTTTTCTGAAGATTCAAACACTTTAACAAAGTCCTCTGCGATGAGGCGTCGCACTCTCAACGCCTTCTCGAAGTAGTGGTCGTAGTTCTTTCTTAAGAGCAGGAAGTTTCCCGTAAGAATGCGTGTCTTGACGACCTCATTAAATCCCTCAGCCCGGGAAAGAGCATATAACTGCTCCGTGCTGCGCTCGTCAGTAGCCCGATGACCATACTCGATTCCATCGTACCGAGCCATGTTACTAGCCACCTCACACTGATTGAGAATGGAATACACAAATATACTTGCGGCCGTATTTGGTAAAGAGACCTGTCGCACGGAGGCACCGCTACATTCAAGAAGATCGGCCACCTTGGACCACGTTTCCAAAACCTCAGCGGAAAGTCCATGGCAATGATATTCCTTTGGTATCCCTATGCGAACAGTGCTTAAATCAATTTGACCGATTTCTGGCAGTTTCAGCTTATTGAAAGGCTGTCTGATGGTTGTAGAATCCAGTCGATCCGGTCCAGCCACGGTATTCAATACCGCCACACAATCGCTGACAGAGCGGGCGAAAATGCCGGGAACGTCCATGGAATTGACTAGGGGGATGAGGCCGTGACGGGATACTAGGCCATAGGTCGGTTTTAAACCAACCACGCCACAATAGGAGGCAGGATTACGGGTGGAGCCACCAGTGTCCGAACCAATCGCACTGAAATATGTAAACAAACACACATAAATACATGCATTAAAAAGTCGATTTAAAAAAATCCAAACCTCGTTTACGTAAAAAAAAAATATTTTGAACAGTTATTTAAATAAAGCTCTTCGCGCAAATATACCAGAAAATACCAAAAACATAATGCCAGATAGAGTGACATGCCCATCGACAGCTGACAAAGTGAAACGAACGTTCACATTGCGCAGCTGTCAGAAGTCGAGCGATCAAGGGAAAACTCGATTATTTACCAAATTTGCGATTAAAATTGCTACCCCAAAGCAATGTCTGCAATCTTTCGTCTGACCAGCCGCGCCGTTGCGCTGCAACGTTCCCTGGTGGCCAACCAGGCAGCAGTTGTCCGCGCCATCAATACGTCTTCGAAGAAAGATGAGACCATAACAACCCCCACTTCGGTCACCGCAGAGGACTTTGCCAATCCGAGTCCTAAGAACTGGCAGAGCTACGGATTCGACTACAAAGACCAAGTTGAGGATCGCAAAGCCACCAAATCGACATTCTTCTTCACGGTGACACTGTGCCTGGTGTGGGGCACCTTTTACTGGGCCTACCTGCCCGATACTCAGTTCCGCGACTGGGCTCAACGCGAGGGCTTCCTGGAGCTGCGCCGCCGTGAGAAAGCCGGCTTGGATCTGGTCAGCCCCAACTACGTGGACCCTGCCAACATTACGCTGCCCTCGGACGAGGATCTGGCTGACACAGAGATCATCATCTAAACATTTAGTGCCCCTATCCTTAGTATGTTATGTAATGCGAATGCAAAGGGATCCCAATGCGAATCCGCATTGTTTCCGTTAATAAAACTGCAAGTCTCGGCGTGGACAAACTTGGCTATTAGTCCCCTGGTGATTAATTTCCGTTAAATATACTACTTTTTCTTCCCGTCGGGTTTGAGGTTAGGTAGTGAAAACATAAACAACTTAATACTCACGCATAACAAAGACCTGCGGCTACCGCGGATGCAGAGCCTCCGGAGCTGCCGCCCGCGATTCGCCAGTGCTCTTGATCGAGGACTTCGCTCCAGATGTTTTTGGTTGGTCCGTACAGGGAATCAACAGTGCCGGCGCCCATTGCAAACTGATCCATATTGGTCTTTCCCAAGATTACAGCACCCGCCTGTTTGAGCCTTGAACAAACAGAAGCATCATAGGGTGGAACAAAGTCCTGAAGCATCCTGGAGACAAGCGACATATGAATACATATTATGTTTTGTTAGTTTCTTAAATTTGTACCTCGAGGCGCAGGTGGTATGGACATCTTTTGTGCAAAAGTTATCCTTGATTGCAATGGTAACTCCATCTAAAACACCATTCGGTTGCTTTCGCTGATACCGCTCCTGCGATTCCTGGGCCTGTTGCCTTGCTTGTTCCGGAGTGACACGCACGAAGGCATTCAAGATCTTTAACCGAACGACGTCCTCCAAGGCCTGCTCCGTAACCCGGCTAGGAGACAAATGGCCATCCGCATAGCTGCCCGTTAACTGTTAAATATCGTGGTTTAAAATTTTTTGTCTTGTTGATTAATTAACCAACCTGCTTAATGCTCCACTGTAGGTGTCGGCGCATTCTTTTTAATGGGAGAAAAGCGGGATATTAACGTATTCACCCGATTATTGAGAAGCTATCGGCGGAAGAAATCATAACAAATAAATCAAAGTTGCAAGAGTGGTATGTTTATCTAGTATTTCCTTTTTTTTGCACCATCATATACGGCCACATTGAAGTTCATGGACGTTACTGTGGGGTTTGAAAATTGAAAATATGGAGTTTAATAAATATGATTTTGTAAAATAAGCTAAATTTATTATTTAGCTTACGCTAAAAGCTGTAAATCACAATTGTGCTTATAAATTCTTCGTTTTCTAATGCTTGCAGCTATAAATATTTAAAATGACATATATTACTATTATGTATAGGACTTATGCAATACAAATCTCATAATATTACCACAATTTCTCTCGAGAATAAAATAATTATCGGTAATTTTAAATTTAACAATATTCTGGAAACTTTGGTAATTCCCCACCAAACAACGTTTTTTTTAGCTACGCCACTGCACCCGGCAGCTGTTATTGATTAGAGGAGCGATAAAAATCCAGTCAACGCAATTATTGACAATAGTACACGCTCTAGAGGCTTTAAAGTTATCTAACATCAATCAATTGGTTGGATTCATCTATAGGGCCTGTAAATTACGGGCAAAACCATCCCAAAAACCTCATAGAACTTCTAAAACATGGCTAAGTTGGACGAACGTATCGGCTTCATAGGAGGCGGAAACATGGCTTTTGCCATTGGATCCGGACTTGTGCGCTGCGGGATCGTAAAGCCCAGCCAAGTGATGGTCTCCGGTCCGCATATCGAGAACCTGAAGCGCTGGAGGGATCTTGGTGCTGTTACAAGCGACGACAACTATGAAGTCCTGGAACACCAGGATATTGTTTTTATCTGCGTTAAGCCGCACATTCTCACGACCTGCGCAAATCAGTTAAAGTGCAAGCACGTGCGGTCGGAGAAGGACGCCAACAAGCTGATTGTGTCTGTATTGGCGGGTACCAGTATCGGAAAGTTGGAGGATGCTTTCTATTTTATGGGAGAACTGAAAGTAATCCGCACCATGCCGAACACCTCCATGCAGGTGGGAGAGGGCTGTACCGTGTACACGGGCAACACTCGTGTCTCCCGTCACGATCTAGAGAAGGTTCACCTAATGCTCAACGCCCTGGGCTTAGCCCAACAGGTGCCAGAGCCCATGATTGACGCCGTGACAGGCGTGGCAGGATGCGGACCTGCCTTTGTCTACACCATTATCGAGGCCCTGGCCGATGGCGGGGTCAAGCAGGGCGTTCCGCGCCAAATGGCTATACAGTTTGCTGCTCAAACACTGCTGGGAGCTGCCAAGACGGTGCTCCTCACCGGAAAACACCCAGCAGTGCTGCGGGATGAAGTCTGCTCTCCCGGTGGCTCCACCATCGTGGGCGTCCACGAACTGGAAAAGGGAAACCTCAGGTTTGAGACTAAGGGTTTTTATTAGGCCTTAATTTATTGTTCCTTACTTTTAGGGCTACTTTAATAAACGCCGTGGAAAAGTCGTCACAGCGCTCCGCTGAACTTGGAAAGAAGTGAATCTTCAGATCCTTTTAAACCTCCTTTGCTCTCTACTTATAAAGTAAAACGCGTGGTATTGATATTACAATAATGACAAACATAAAGCTTGAGTTTATTCCCGATCTTTTTTGCTGACATACTCTACGCACTTGGAGGGATCGGTGGGGAAATACTCTTGGCATTTTGTCATCAGACGTTTAAGTCCCTGGATGTACTTGCGTTGCGTCTCGTCGTTCATTACGTGCGCCACGTTTTTTGAGAAGATTTTTTCGCGACCAGTACGCGCGTGGATGCCCACCATGGTGACACCGATTGGCCATGGGGCATTGCCGATAGCCATCTCCAGATAAGCGTCACTGGCGGTGATGTAGTTGCGGTTGAGTAGATGCTTGCAGATGTCCCTCAGACTGTCCAAAATGTCCTCAGGCAGGGTATGATGCTTTAGTTTACGAAAAAGAGGCTTCACGTACTCCTTGGTTTGCGTGTAAATTACCCTAGTCATTTTCACTTTCGTGGACATCTTTTCGTGCTTACTGTAGTTGGCAATCTGATCGTTCCACAGCTTCAAAAGAAAGGTGAGCAAAGTAATGATCACGTCCATGTCGTAGTCCTTGTTTCGGCCCATTTTTTGAGCCATGGCTTGGATACTTTCCCACGACACGGACTCGTCCAGCTCGGCGAAGTCTGACTTTTTGTCTTCTTTAGCTGTAGGGGCGTTGGCGAACATCTCTTGCAGGTATGCGGCGTCGACCTGTTCCATGGCCTCTTGGAAATCGTTTCGAAATCCTCGGTTCGCTTCCGGTTGTGAAATTTCGCACTGACGCAATCTGTCAAAGGCCTCTGGCTCCGTTTCGCCGAAAATTAAAATAGGTTCGCCTCGCTCCCTCAGACGTCGAATGACCTCTGTTCGCGGCAGGATGTTCTGGCCATCGGCCACGAAACTGTATGCTCCCTCGGTGGACTGTCCTTGGGCTTCCACAGACTCCTGCTTTTTGTAGCCGACCTTCTGCAGCACCTCCTCCGTGTCCTTGGCGTTTAGGTCGCCGCGTCTGAAGTACTTCTTCTTTTCGTCCACCAGCTGTTTCTGCTCCAACAGCTTTCGTTTTCGAGCTATTTCTGCTTTTAGGATATCCATTTGGAAGGAAGTAGTCAATAACAATGTGTTGTAAACAAAACAAAACAAAAGGCAATGGTTTTAAGTGTGACCAGATTAAAAAAGGTGTAACCCATAGACAACGACTGCGGCCATAAAAATAGAAAAGTTATTTGAAATTGTATAATGTATCTTTCACTTTAATTAAAATATATGTTTATGATAATGTAGTACAAATATAAGGCTATCAGACAATATAAAAAATGACTCTCCACTAATCATAAAAATAATTTAAAAAGTAATGAAAGGTAACATATTGAGCTGCATCAATCAGTATTTAACTTTTTAGTTAATATTCTAGCTCTGGTCTCACTGGGCCCAAATCAATAAAAAAATAGACAACATTTTAGGAAAGCAAACCAATTTTAAGGACACAATGCCAAAGAAAATGGGAATTAATTCGAAGGCGGTGGAGGCCCGCGAACGCAAAGAAGCCACCAAAAAGGCTACACAGGATAAGAAGACTAAGGAAGCAGAGGATCGTCTGTGGCGCGATGACGATAAGAATCTGGCCAAGAAACAGCAGCGTAAGGACGAGGAGGAACGCAAGCGGGCGGAGGCGGCAAAGCGGAAGGCAGAGGCCAAGGCGCTTCTCGACCAGGAGATGTCCTCTATTAACACGCAGCGAAAGCAGCCGCTGGCAAAGATTAACCGCCAAATGATTCTGGAGGAGATGGAGAAGAAACAGCGTGTGATGGATGCCATTAACGAAGCCAACAAGCCGGCGGTCACCCGAGTTGTAGTTCAAAACCAAGTCGTCGAAGAAAACCTGAACCGATCCATGGCCGATACGGATGTGGCCTCCAACATTGACGAGGCTCTTGTGGTGCTAAGGTGAGAGTTCTTGATGTCACCTTTAAACATTATACGTAATTTTTAATTACTTCTAGTGTAAAAGACAACGAGGATGACAAGCATCCCGAGAAGCGAATGCGCGCCGCCTACAAGACGTTTGAAGCCAACAATCTGCCTCGCATCAAAGCCGAGAATCCCTCGCTCCGCATGTCCCAGTGGAAGCAGCTGCTGATGAAGGAATGGAACAAGTCCCCGGACAATCCGTTTAACCAGGCGCGCTAAGTGTTCAAAAGACGAATTTCACCGACCCCTCCACGAGTGTGCGTACTCTAGTGACTGTTGCTGCCTAGCAGCGAAGACTAATCAAATGGCTCTGAATCATCTTTGAACTATACGCATAATTTAGTTTACACAATACATTGCGGAGAGAATAAATGTATTTATTTATTTAAGCCTTTTTTTTTTTTTTTTTTTTTTATATAACAATATTAATATTTATTAAACGTCAATCAGCCAACTTAATGGCTATAATACGTTGAGTACTACATAGAACAAAATAACATAAATACCTAACAGGAAGGAAATTAACAAATTTTTATAACTAGATAACTAGAGATCAATGCTAAATGCTAATGCTAAATTTACTGTTTAGGACTCGAGAAATTTGGCGTCTCTTGTCCGGAGATCGGCTGGATGCCTTCGCTTTAAACGTCTTCTTATAGTAGTGTGAGCTAGCGAGGAGGCTAGGTGGTTTGTGTGAGCTGTGAGACGATCGTTATACCGACTCGAGTGCCTGTTTATCTGTTCCCTAATAGGGGGAATGTGGAGGTCATCTTCTGAGCTTTGTTTCTGACGTGCCAAGGCGCATTTGCAATCATGCGTAACGCCCGGTTTTGAACCCTTTGATTTTCATGGCGTTGGAATCCGAAGCCAAGCCCCATAGTTGGATGCAGTCATCATCGAGGGCACCCATTGATTTGTACAGTAGACTTTGTTAGCTAGGCTTAGCTTGCTCGTTGGCTTAAGCAACCAGTGGAGTTTCCTAAGCTTGGGACGACAAGTAGCTGCTATTTTCGAGTATGCTGCCTCCCGTGAGGCGCTTATCTAAATGAGGCCCAGGTACTGCGCCTGTGATGATTGCGGAATGATGTCGTCGTGAAGTTTGACCTCGGAAGGGACTGCACTCTCAAGCGAAACAGCAGTGTTGTGATTTCCTTCCATTAATCGCTATGTTCACCTGTTGGTCCACTGCCGTATGTGTCCGAAATTCCTGGGTGATTCTTGATGCCTCGATACGGCAAGAGGAGTTGACTAGGAACGCCGTGTCATCGGTGGGTGGCCAGAAGTGTGTTTGGTTCATTCGGACAAGGCAGGTCGAAGTGAACAGAGTATGCAGCACGGGACCCAGGACACTCCCTGTGGAACCCAGCACGAGCAGATCTTATGCTGACCTCCTCCTCTTGCTTCAACCATAAAACTTCGACCAAGTAAATATGATTTAAGTAAGAGGTTGGGCAGTCGGGAGAAGAGATTTCAGCTTATACAGCAGGCCATCATGCCACACGCGATCAAAGGCTTCCTTAACGTCGAGGAAGATAGCAGAGCTGTATTGTTTGTTTTCAAAGGCATTCAGAATATGGTGCACAACTCGATGGACTTGCTCAGGAGTCCCATGTTGCTTCCTAAAACCAAACTGGTGGTCGGGAATGGCGTCCTGTATGGTTCTTACTCCCATAATTCTACTAAGGAATATTCTCTCGAATATTTTAGAGAATCTCGATCATGCTTTCGTGTAGTGCAGACGCGTTTTTGCATTGCTGCGGATTTCATTGTGTAGAGTCTATGGACAAGTCCACGTTTGTGGCAAAGCGTAATTCTTTTGTGAATTTCTACGAATTCTTGGTAAAAAGTCAATTTATTTAAGCCCAGTGAATATATGAATGTTTGTGTTTTTTGATATGGAGCTCAAAGGATTTAATTTTCATATTTTAGTAATATTAACTTAACTGTTAGAATATTTCTCGGACTTTAATTAAAAATAGGTTACGTTCCATTTATTAACTTTTGAGTTGGAACAATTACGGAAAAGAAATGCTACTAAAGGTTGTCAAAAAAGTCTTGCGGTATTTTCGCTAGTTGGCGCTGAAAGCGCTTAGTTCTTGTTTTATTCGTCGCATCAGGTCATACTATACCTCTTTGGAAAGTTTATTTCACGCGCTAATATGTTTGATTGATTGTCTTTTCTTTTAAGTCGTTCGTGAGTTATAGCGTCGCAAACATGGAGCAAAATACGATAAAGGCAAAAATGCATCTTAAGCCGCCAATAAAATTTGTGGACCAGCACAACGATGGTATCAACGTTTTCGTTCTGCTGTAGAGGTGGTCGAAGATGCGCCACGCTCCGAGTTTTTTGACAATAGGGAAGCGAGCTTCCATGAGAGGGGCATTATGAGGTTTGCATATTGTTGGGAACTCGTCATCGAACAAAACGGCGCATATTTGACTTGAATCGCATTATTGTAACCAATTTTATACCGCAAGACTTTTTTGACAAACTAATATATTTTTGATATATAAGGAACATCTCTATTGAAATGTTTACTTAATTCTTCAAAATATAATTTTCTTTTTTGAACCATCAAAATAAAAATGAAGTACATTAAATAAAGTTAAGTATTGGTTACGCAATAAATCAATAAAATTATAGAAAGATTGGCCGAGTAAACGTTAACGCACTGAGATCTGAAAGTGATAACCGGCAGCTTTCCTTCGCTTATTTAATGCCCAATTTTTTATTCGCCACAACTTAAAAAGTTTGTGGCCCTGATCCGATTCCGGTTGCGTTTCTGAATGAAGTAATTATATGTATTGCTTTGATTGCTGTTGTCGTTCCAGCGTTTTGTCCATCACATTTTTTCATTGGTGCAAAATACAGAGAATAATAAGTGCTTCCGCTTTCACTGTTTGCTGCTTGGAAGTTCGGTGGCGTTTTCTGAACTAGAGCCACCAAAATATTTTCGTTGTCTTTCGAACAAATGTACGTAACATCAGTCAGTTAGGTACGAGCTTAAAGTCATTAGGCACCTCTTTTTGCGCATTAAATGTTATTTTATATAAGATATTAGAGCTTAATTGAGCGATTTTCCAAATAAAAAGTTTCTGGCTTAATAGGCTTGGCTTGGTCAGCTTTCATTTGGGAACCGAATTGTTTCTGTCTAGGCCCAAACTATTGAAGTGTAAGTAAGCATTTAAGTTCTGGCCAGTAACTTTCTTGTTCAATTAAGTCATTAAGCTGTTGTGGGGGACTTTAATCTTACTTTCTTATCACTAGAACCGAAACAGTTAAACAATTTTATGGAAATCCCTCGGAAGCGGTTCATAAAAATCCGGATTGCAGTTAATAATTAAAATGTTCCACTGCAGTAGATTTGATTTTTGAATTTCCACCACCAGTTACAAGTTAACAGTGCCTCTGTTAACCGTTTTCAACCGCTGGCAGCTGGCAGTTGGCAGCTGTCTTACCTGTTGGCAGTGCTTTCTTTTTAATAAAAAATTTCTTTTGTCGCCGCACAACTTCATTCAGTGCCTGGCCTTCGAAGGCAGCGGTCGCGTCGTGCTCTTCAGCTTTCATTGTGAGAGAAATGCAAATACCAGAAATTCAATATTGAACGCGAGCTGAGAGAAAAGAAAAGTGTGAGACGTGTTTGGAAAATCGAATCGAATTTCGTACGGCATCCTCAACGGAAATCGCAACAACGGTAATTGGTGTGTGTGCGCTCGGTCTCTTTCACTCCCCGTGAGTGTGCCTCTGTGAACTTTATTGGTTTTTTATACTTACTTAAATAACCATCCAATTGTGGAATACTTGGGACACCACTGTCAAGGATATCAGCCAGTTTGGGGGTAAGATTTGTGCGCTAAGCGGTTAGAAATGTTTGTCGGCCAGTACGGTTGCAGCTAATTAGCATGCTGCACTCGACACAAAAGCACACAAAAAAAGAAACCAACTGCAGCGGGCTGCTGCTGGTCACCAGGTGGAAATCAGGGCAGGCCCAGCAACCCACACGAGTTCGTGCCTTAAGTCTTTTGTTTTGCGTCTTGCTTTTTTAGTCGCCGGCCCTTGCGCATCTGCAAAACAGCAGGCGGTGTAAAAAAGTAACAGAGTTTGTTGTACCAGAATAATTATGTACGCAACTACTGTCAAGAGTCGGCTTTTTATTTTAGTCGAGATCTCGCCATGGCTTACTTTCCTACCCATCAAATTCGGTTGACCCACAAATCGTGTACTACATGCTAATTGACGTTAACTTGTTTCCGAGATTCCGCATTCTGTTGGCCAAAAAAAGAAACATTTTCAGGTTCATTGACCATTGCCATCGTCGTATGCTTGGCGTTATGTAAAATGCACAATAATTGAATTCTGGTAATGAATTCACACTTTGCATGAGATCCGATGGGTTGCGTGTCGGCCGCGACTGTTATGCATTGGGCGCGAATTATTTAATATACAGACGAGGAGATAACGAGATCAATTGGCAGCCAACCGTTAGTTAATTTATTACTTTCTCAAAAGGTCGGTGCAGTGTTCCCAATAGGCCAACGCTAAGGAGTACGCGAACTGATTTATAGCCATGGCCAGCGACCCAAATTGGTTGGCAAGCCAGAATCATACTATATGCTTAGCTATGCCAAGCCAAACATAAGCGGAATCAGCAGAACAGCATAAACAGAACTTGGAGCCAACCCATTTACTGGATGGCACGCGCGGGCGCAGCAATTTCTATTGCCGCAGCGTATTGCAATTGCATTAACAACCCAGCAGCCAGCCAAGTGAGCCAAAAAGCCAAGTGACCATAAAAGAAATGCCAGAGGCAGCAGGCCTAAACCGAATTACCTACGAGTATGATCATCTAACCAAATATGGGCGTCTTCTTCTGCCGAGGAAGTCACACTCGGCCACCAAAAACGAACTGACAGCCTTGAAAGATTTATTGGCTGACCAGATCGGCGACGTGTCGCGATTCTGCAAAATGGTATATATCCCCATCAGCGAACATAGTCAATCATCGCTCGCTTATCTTCTGCCTTATCGCTGCTCTCTGAATATGTCTTTCGACTCGGTGATCTTCAGCACTTTCCTTTTTATTTTGAGCCATTGCCCGCAGCTCGTGCTTAGTTTTTCTTCCCACAGTGGAAAAAATGAGAATTGATTAAAATATTTATATTTATTAAAAATCCCACTGAATATGATAATTATTCTCTGTGTACCCAGAGTGATGCCAACTATCTGGCTGTCACTCACGGTTTTCTATACGCTTTTTCTTCAAATCAGCACTTGAACAGTTTCCATTTGATGGCTCGGACAGTACTTTAATAATAATAGCAATTCCATTGTAAAATTCATATACTATGCGCATGTGTGCAGCGCATAATTTTCTCGCTTTGTGCCATAAGTTGTTGTAAATTTTGACTGGCCGTCGTCGACTTCATTAAAACTAATAAAATAGCAACAAATTCAAGTTTTTGGAGAGTGTGTGTGGTGAGGTGTGTGTGTGGCATTTGAAGTGCTGCTCGGCTTGAACTTCACACTCTGGCGGCAAGCTGAAATTTCACCATTTCTCTTTGAAGAACCTGCAAAATGCGTATTATTATAATTAAGATTTCAGGCACGTTGCCTTGACTTTCATTGCCATTTTTTAGACACGGTTAGCGGTCATTTCGGTTTATTGATTTTTTAGTCATTCGGTGATTTGAATTTATTTATTTATTTGTCTTCTGACCGAAGGAATTCCGCCTATTTTGGCCAATGGGGTTATTCATTTCTATATGCTAATCGGCACTTAGCATGTGGGCGTCACTTTCTACATTTCTTCGCCGGCGAGAGAGCGGAAATCCGATTGCGGATTTCCTTGGTCTCTGATTGCTTTCGGTTCACGGGAATTCGCTCGAAATTTCGTGTGATTGCAACACTCGAATGATTCACGAGACTTTGGCCAAGGTGTGTGCACTTGCCAACATTTGTTAACGTTAACTTCAGCCACCAGGCAACAGGCCGCAGAGATCATAGCCGGGATTTATGAGTGTGTGTGGTGTGGCCAAGAGCGATTACGCACCTTAAAAAGTGAAATTTCTTGCGTTGTTTTGTTTCGCCTTTTCGGTTTTTCGTTTTTCGCCAGAAAGAAATGCAAATTAATTCGAATGACTAAGACGGCGGCGATTTTGGGAATAGCAAAATATACCCAAAGGCCATCAAAATGAAAACTGCCTAAGGTCGGGAAAATAACCTCTTTACACGCTGATGATTTGATAATGAAACATAAATCAAATATTTTACATTAATAGTTATTACCTAACTGAGGATTCTTGGACATTTAATGATTTCCATATGAAGATGAAGATTTCCATTTGAATTTTTTAAATCTATATTTTCATTAATTTTTAAATTGCTTAAATATTTTTAATTTGTGCCTTTATGCATTTTAATTTAGCCTGGATCGGTTGGGCCAAAAGCATAGGGTTTTCAAGCTCAAGACAAGACTTTGTCGACATTCCAGTCGCACTCGCCATCGACTGTTTGTCCGATGATCGTTAACGGGGTCAGCTCAGCTACGTACACGGGCTTCAGCCGCTTCTCTCGCAGCCGTTTGTTGGTTTATTTTGTGGTACCTCCATTGGGTATTGGATATCTGCTATCTGCCTGGCTGATTCACCAAAAAAATAAAACAAAACGTGAGGCAGACTGGCGGGCAGGAAGACTGGCTTCCTCGGTATTTGGGGATTACAAGTTGCCTCATACTGGGGAAAGAGAAGTGCCAAGGGGGCAATCAAAAATTTCACTGATTTTTATTATTTTTATTTTGCGTCCTACCGTTCTGGTTTGGCTACTTTGCCGCCGCGTGTACGTTTCTTCTCTGGCTCTGGCTCTGGCCTTTGCTTTTGCTTTTGCTTTGCGGTTAAAGTTGAGGCACAAATTCGGTAAGCCATAAATAATTCTCTCTGGCGCCGTTGCCGCACCACATCCAGCCGCACACACCACAAAAGCGAACAGCACTCAGAAGCTGAGCGAGAAATTTTTGGCTGCCAAAAGTGAAAGTTGCAGCTGCTGCTGGCCGTGCCATTGAAAGAAATAAGAAATGTAGGAAAGCGCTCGCCGAGAGTCCCCTCTAGAGGTCCCCTTCTCCTATCTGGTTTCAAAATCAGCTTGCTAGATAGAGACAGTCTTAAGTTAAGTCTTAGGGTCTGCTCTCCAGATTGGCCCGGGTGTCTAATGACTCTGCTGGTTGCTCTTTGTCAACATTGGCCGCCGCCTCGGGGAGTTGAATTAAGCATTTTCGCTATTATGTGTTTCGTTTTGTCGTCGTAATTATGTTTACCACGCTTTTGATTGCCACTATTTCTGTGCCATTAAAAATTACATCTAATTGCGGTGGTCCGTAATAGACGTGCGACTTTTTCGGGGTGTCTTCCTCAAGAAACAGTGACACCACCCAGCGGGCGAAAGAGGTGGAAAGTTATGGTGTTTATGCACTTTGTGCCTGAGCTTGATTGTGGGAACCGCAAGCGAAATGAGTTAATCGGAGAGACCAGGTCGAATTGTGTAATGTAAAAGCAAAGTGCGACCGGGAAGTGATAACACTAATCCGCAGACTTCCTTCTTCAAGGAAATGGGTCAGCAATTGGGCATAGTTCGTTGAACCCCTCCAAAAAAACGTCATGGAATGCCGTGTCCATAACTCGTTTCAATATTTAAATTTAATTAAATTAGCACTTTCTACGCGACAAGAAAGCCGTGCCTCACATATTGAATAATAATTACAAACAATTAGCACAGTGACCCAGATGCGTAAATTATGAAAATGAAAATGCAGCACTGGCGGCCGCCCAGAAATTCCTTAGCCGGCACACTCATAATGGAAAGTGGCAATCAAGTGCGGCTCAAATGTGCAATGAAACCACGTTCGCATATTCAAAAGACATGTTGACAAGAAGTTTGTGTCTTGAGTCTTTCGTTTTGCCTCACACTTATTTCATTCCAGCGCGTGCTCTTTTAACAATCCAGCAGCGATGACAGGTTTTTATTTGGCATTCGGGGTTCTACAGGAGGATGCTATGTGGCTTCTGCTTGTGTTTGTGCTTCTCTTCGGGTTGTTCTTTTTTATTAGCATACTGATAAAAGCGAACTTGGCCGTGTTAGTATGTGTGTGAAGATGTGGACATTAAAAAATGATGGCAAAAGCAAACAAGTTCCTAAATTGTGACCCAATTACCCAGTTAGGCAGTCTGTTGATACAAGTTTTAGTTGGTCTTATGAATTACGGCCCATCGGTAGAGAGGCATGCCAATTTGAGGCGAACTAGCACTGCATTTGCATAACACTTTGTCTGAATCCAAAAGAACTCAAGAAAGCACAAGCGGTTGGCCAATTCATTGACAATTGAAATGAAAGTTGGTAGCAGGTAAATGGCCAAGCACTTAGATCGGAGATCACTCGCAATTGTTTTGTGTGGCACATGCCGCATGCAATCGAGAGGAAATCTAGACCATAATAATAATAGCAATGGCAATTTGGAGACACCACTGGCAATTGCCGCAATTGCACTTTCATCTGGGATTCTTGCTGCTCGAATCCGAGTGAGTCGTGTGTATGCGCGGCTCTTTGAATAAATTTCTACATGGCTTGATTGACGGGCCGCTGCGATTAAGCGCATAATGAGCCTAGCTCCTGGCCAGATGATTTTGACATTGATGTGGCTGCTCTCCGCCGGTGAGTCAGTCATAATTAGCGCTGGGTATTTCGGCTGGGTGACATTATCGATGTATTTTGATTGAATGAAAGTTGAACTGTGTTTTTGAAAGTGAATTTCTTGTCACGGCAGAAGACCGTGGCGGTGAATCGAAAGCACTGGCGGCCAAATCGATTTCGGATTATTTGGCTTTTTGTTGCGGCAGAATATCGAAGAGGGTTAGACAATAGAAAAAGACTATTGGCTAGGCCAGCGGCTGGCATTTGGCTCGTTTGACATAACCACCACAATGAGCGACCACAACAAGTCACAACTCCCAGACGGGTTTTCCACTCGCTGCAAAAAACTGGCTGCTCACATTTGGTAAAATTTCACTTTTTCCTTTTATTTGCTTGCTGGCAGCGACTATTGCAGCAGCTTTTTATGAAAATCAAAGCAATCCCATCCAGTCACTTGTGGACCAGAGTCAGTGCCAAATTTGGAGCGCACCAGTTGTGTTGTGTTTTGTTGTTAATTGTAAGCGACACTGCCAGTGGATGTTTTGATCTGCAATCATAACTCGAAGGCTACCATCGAATTGTACTGCGCTCTTTTGTTTTTGGCCAAAACACTTCTCGCATAGAAGCAGACACGGTCATGTCTCAATTAAGCCAACCTACGGTGCTTGGTCGGCTGACAAATTGCCGTGAGGCCGTGGTGTTGTCGGGATTCGAGGCAGCAACACCAGCAATCACAGCCAACTGGCTGCAATTTTCGCACCATAAATGTGGAAGCGGTCCGTTGTCAAAGCTTTTGAAGTGACAGCGGCCTTGTGCAGACTTTGAAATCAAGAGTGGTTTCGGTTTGGGCGGAAGGTCTGCGATTCAAATTAAAGATTGCGTTTCTCTTCTCTCTCTTTGCAGGCAAACAAAATGGAAGGCAGTAGCAACATAAGGTTGCTGCTGGCACTAGTGTTGCTGCTTGGTGCAGCAGTAACATCTAGCGGAGAGTCCACCACGGAGACTCCTTCGGCCTTGTTGCCATTGGAGGCAAGAAGTGCTGATGTTTCGGGAGAAGAAGATGTCATTTCCACCAGCTATGTGTTGCCCAATCAGATTTTCAACGAGGGAAAACCTTACTATGCTCGCCAAGATCCCGTCTCGGGTCAGCTAGACTTCAGTGCCAAGAAACCAGCTGGAATCCAGCCGGAGGCCAATGAGGTGGTAGATCCAAACGAGAAGATCGTGCTTAGCGGTGGCAGTTCACCCAACATACATGACTTTTTGAACTTGCCCGTCAAGTACTCTTCTTCAAAGTTCGTTTATCCTCTGGTCTCCAGTTCATATGCCAACCTGAAGTACCAGGGCAGCAACAAGAATTACATCACCAACAAGAAACCAACTTCAGTGGTTGCCCCAGTCACACCCCCACCGCCAAACTATCATAGCTCGAACTACTTCACGGTTCCAACTACAAAGCTAACCGCTGTGACACCCACGGCGGGAGCTTACTACCCAAGTAATCCCACTACCACTAGCACCACAACTTCTACAACTACAACTACTACAACTACCACTACTCGGGGAACTTTGCCGCCTTCGAGGAGACCAGTTACCACCACCACCACCACGGAGGCACCAAGTCCGGCTGCCAAGTATACCACTACCTCAAGGCGGCCCATTCCATTGCAGACGGTCTCCACAACTGCACCACCACAACGCACAAGCACAACCCGCAAGAAGTTTGTGCCTACCAAGAAGTATAGTCCGACAGTACCCAGCACAAGTGGAAGACCAACAGTTAGTCAGGAGGAGCAGCGTCCGGTGAAGGCATCGCCCAGACCCACGCCCAGCAGCAACGATGTGGCACTCACCACCCACCATGCCACGCCACAGGCGGCCATTTTCCCAACAGAGCCCACCACAACCACCAAGATGTACACCACCTCGAGCACAAGTCCACCTGTTGTGTTCACCGAAGGACCCACACCCCCGCCCGCCTTTAGTCCCATTCCGGGAACTGGTATTCCCAACCTGGATCCAGCCGATGTTTACCACACACTGGGGCAGAAGAACACACAAGCTGAAGAACAGCAACAGCAGCAATTGGATAGGCAGCAGCAGATGCAGCAGCAACAGAAAATACAGCAGCAGCAGTATCAAGAGCAGCAGCAACAGCTATATCAACAGCAACAATATCAGCTGCAACTGGAGAAGCAACAACTGGAAAAGCAAAAGCATCCATACCAGCAGCAACTGGAAAAGCAGCAGCAGCAACATCAGCAGCAACAACAACATCAGCAGCAACAGCAACATCAGCAGCAGCAACAACATCAGCAGCAGCAACATCAACCTCAACCGCCAACTCAGCAGCAGCAACCGACTCCTCCAAAATCACCCATGACCCTTAGCGATATATTCAACAGCCTGGCTGAAGAAGAATCCAATGTGGCACAAAACTACCAGCAGAACCAAGGATTCGATGCCCAAGGCAACCTCATTCAGCCTATTGCACCCTCCAAACCATCTCCCTTCGCTATGCAACACCAAGCTCCACAACAGCCAGGACCTCAACAGCAAGGACCACAGCACCCGGGACCACAGCAATTAGGACCCCAGAAATCAGGACCACAACAGCGACCCAACCCTAATGAACAGAAGGTAATCTCTGGCAGTCAGGAGAATTATAGCAATGAGTACGTCTCCTATCAAGTGCAGCAGCCAAACATGATGCAATACCGACCAGTCCCGGGCCAGATCAACAACGTGGTCATCTCTCCGGGCCAGCAGTCAGCTTCTTTTGTTCTCGGCAGTCAGGTGCAACAGGTTAGTGTGGGACACCCAAGCATTGAGAAGGAACCACTATTTGCCAAGGATACGCCAGGGGTGCAATATGGTCAGGTGATCAACGAGGATATCGGCAACATTAAGAGACCCCTTAAGGAACCAGTGCCCCCGAACTATCAACAGATGCCCAGCATCCAGCCCAACTCAAACTTCCATCAGAACGGAAATGTGGCGACATCGGGAGCACCAGGTACGGTTTCGTACCAAGAGCCACCACCAGAGGCACCAAGCCCATATCAACAACTGCCCCTGATTGGATCCAACAAGCGACCATCAAAGAAACCAATGGTGAAGCCTGAGCAGCCTCCTCATGCCTACCCGCCTCCACAATCTTCAACCCCACCTCAAGTGCAGCCTACACAACCAGCTCTGGTTCAGCAAGGAGATGACACCAAGGAGCTTTTGGTCTCGACCAACATTCGTTTCCCTGCTCAGGGAGAAGAGTCACTTGAACTATCCTCATCCGCTGTTATGCAGGGTCCTCCGTCTGGACCCCACATCAATGGCCACGCTCAACCTCTAAGTCTACAACAAATTCAGAACTCCAATCCCGTGGTTTTCCCCAAAGCCCAGGATGAAGCCATTCCTGGCGGAGCAAATGTCCAGATCCAGCAGCATGAAGTGCTCAACCTGAGTCAGCAGAAACCACCATTGGTAAGACCCTAATTCAGACTACTCGGTATAAACTTAACTCTTCTATATCCATAGAAATTCCCTGCCCAGCAACCAGGACTTGGCGAACAACCTTCCCTGGACATGGAACCACCTCCGCGTTATCCAACCACTCTACCAGTGCCCCATGCGCCACCAACTCCTGGCAAGCGACCACTTGGTCCATCACCACCGTCAAACTTCTATAATGAGTTCAACCGCAAGCCACAGAACGGACCGCGTCCCAGCAACCTGCCGAACATTTTGCCTCAATTCCGTCCGAATGCTAAAATCTCCAGCGGACATCCTCCGGTCTTGAAGCAAGAACCAGGCAATATTCGTCTACCCCAGCAAGGCGGTCCCGGTCCTAAGCGTCCGTATAATCCCTCAGTGCCACCCCAGTTTCAGCATCGTCGCCAGCCTTTGCACCAACAGCAGCAGATGATGCAGAAGCGCTATCCCATGAATCGCATTTCAGAGTATCCCGTGGGCCCCAGTCCAGGAGGCGATGTTAACAGGAGAGTTTACAGGCTGCCCCCGTATGGAGGTCAAAATGTGCCCTACCTACCCGATCACATGTATCCCCGTCGACCCCATGGACCTGGTCCATTAAGATCCGTTGATGGCTATCCTGCTGAGCGACATGCCCCCTCAGCTGAACCCTACAAGACCATAGATGCCGAGGCAGCTGCTGACTTCGAGGAGGAGGATCTGGTGATTAACGATCCGCCACAGCCTGTAACTCCCGGCAAAGATCGCAAGGGATTGGAGGAGACAAAACTGGAGCCAGTTGTTACCCTTCAAATGTTGCAGTCCCAGAAGAAGGCTGTGAGCCTTCCTGGCGATGATACGGGGGCGGGAGAGATTCAGGTCACAGCCGATAACGATCCCCAGGAGGCTGAGGCCTCCAAGCTCAACCAGCAAAAGTTGGATCCCAGTGGAATGTACGTAGTCTTCCCGATGAAGGGTGCAGAAAAGAGTCAGAGCGAAGGAGAGGCACCATCAGCTCCTGCCGAATACCAGAACACTCCGTTCTCGGTGATCCGTGATCAGCCCCAGGAGCCGATTCTAAAGAACAAGAAGCCACAGTCACTGCAGCAGCAGAGCAAGGCTCAGCAAGTGCCTAAGGAGAAATTCCCCTATCCCATCGAAAAGCCAGACCCATCTTATTCCGAGCTTCACCCCGATTCACAGGCTGCTGTTCCGGGAGTTCTCGTGGCTCCAAGGATCATTACCGGAGCTCTGGGCACCGGCACAGAAACACCAATCGCCATTGCCTACACCCCGACGGAACCGAATCCTTTCCGCCATGAACAGGGACAGAAATTCTCTAACATCAATCTAGCCACTTCGGTGATTAATGAAATCCGACAGGATACCCAGACAGAGGAGGGTCTGAGCAGTGATTTCGATCTGCGGGGTCAGAATTTCGAGAAGGACTTTATGGCACCCTTTTATCCAAGTGTGAGTCTAGGTAGTGCCAGTGGAGCAGCAGCAGTAAATCCTGCAGCGCCGAGTAACTGGAACATTGTGCCCTCAACCACGGATCAGGCACTCTATGAGAAGAACAACATCAACCGCGCCGATGTGGACACCACAGAGGAAAAGAAACCGAAGGAAGAGCAACCTACAGCCAGTCCGTTGACAGGCGAGAAACCTTCTGAGATGGATAGCTTCCAGCCACAACTTCAGGGTGGTTTCCAACCCATTTATCCACCAGGTTACAAGCATGTCGAGCAGATTGAGCAGGAGGAGATCGCTGTAGCGAAGAATGCTGCCCAAGATCAGCCCATCGCTTTACCATTGGTAGGCACCACTGCAAAGCCTTTGACTTCAACCTCACCAATCAGTAGCAGTAGCAGTTCCACCTCCACATCCTCTACCACATCCACGACTTCAACTACTCACCAGCCTGGTATCGCAAAATTGGATGGCACACTAGCAACCACTAAGGCGCCGATTGTCAGTACGAAGCCCACTCAGCGCAAGAAGTCCACCTTTGAGACGAGCCTGGCGGCCCTGCTCTTCGGAGACGAGGATGAGGAGGATGGCGCACGCAAATCTGCAGAGCTGCCAAAGGCCCAAGCAGGACCCAGGAATGTTCCCCGCATGGGTCCCCGAAGTCTGACGTTGAGCTAAACGGGTGCAATGAGCACCAAAATCTAGTATAGTCCAATTTTAGTTCGTATTATTTATTCAAAGTTTATGAGACAGCAGGGAGATGCCCCGCTTAGAGGTAGACCATGTGGTAATCTAGTTCTGTTCTACAGCTTATAGTTAGTAAGCTCACCATCCAGATATAAAGACCGTCGCCTCCAACGAAACAACACAACCCACGATCCCAGCGACTTTTGCGAGTCTGATTTGAAATGCGAATCTTGTGAACTTTCTCATTGGACTCCCGAATCGTCGGCAATGAGATAAACGCTTTTTTGTATTCAATTTAACAAAAACAAACCTAAAATAGTACTCACAATTTACCAGATTATTGTACCATAGAAAACCATACAAAATAAATATAAATTCTGATATGATAACTTTTACTTAGTGGAATCAATTTGAGTATCCAACGAATCTAGTCACTATCCATGGATCAGAACTTTTTCAAGCCTCGGCAAGCAATGGATTAAAAACGGTGTACAGTGTGTACATTTTGATATTTTACACAAGACAATTTTACGCAGTGTAATAAAATAGTACGAATTTCGTTGCACTCTTTTAGGCACTGACTTAATATGCAATCATATACTCTGTACTTCCTACTTACTTACGACCCTGGTACAGCATTTAAAAGTAATCCCAAATAAAATAAGTAAGGTTACTATATCAGTATCTTTATTATACGAGTACAATAATTTAGTTTACAGTTTTACAAAATTATTTGTTTGCCTGACATGTTTTCGATCTCCGATTTTAGATTTACTTTATTTTAACATATGTTAAAAACCGAAACTAATTTCGTTTATGTGTCTGGGATGGACTGCGATTTCAGTGTGGATAATAATTTATATATATAATACTTATTCATGATCGACCCAAGTCGGTTAAGTGCATTAAAATGTTTGATTGGCAACCGGAAATGAATTTTAAATTCATGATTCTTTAATGTTTGGCTTTTCTTATAACCCATTAACAAGACGATGCAATGAGGTTGACGTGTTATGCTCAAATGGACGACTTACATTCCCTAACAAAATCTGTTCTATACTGCTGATTCTTATATGTACACATACATATATCGTGCCTTATCTACAGCTGCCACGGAAGTCTCAAGTATCTTAAATAAATTCTCTGTTGAACAGTGTCTAAGTTGGTAAAGTAAGATGCTTCAGTTGGAGCCATTATTTCCTAATGCATTTTCGATAATCAATAAACGGATATATATTTTCCTATCATCAGTATAATGGAAACTACTAGCCAATTTAAAAACGATGGCTCAGTCTTCGCCTTGCTTTTGCAATATGTTTTATAATTGAAGTATAATTGCAGCCGAATTGCATTAACCGAATGCGTAAGTTCGATTATTAAATTATTATTAGGGACTCTCAAAAAAATAAATAAAACAATACATCATATACCATAATACATTCTTTATAAAATCTGAAATCTTTTAGCCAATGTATGATATTGATCTGCTGGGTTTAATGTATACATATGTATTTATTTGTAATGCAGATACCCACATATATTTGTAACGTAAATACTTAAACTAAATTTCTAAGTCGTGATTAAGCCGAACGGGTTTGGCCAATGTAAATGGTCTTGCTGTTCGAATTGATCCGGGATCATCTGTACAATTTCTGAGGGGGAAGGGGTTTCAAGTCTTAAAACCTCAAGTAGATAAGTCTAAATAGATATTTAACTTTGACCTTAAGTGGTAATTAATCGTTACAGGTAAAATGTATGTATTGCAATATGCCATTTTATGTATATGTATATGTATGTATATTTGTATTGTATTTAAAACATAATCTTTTTATACAGAGTTTAGACAAAATCAAATAAATAGCGCGATAAATTTAATAATATGTGAAAATTGTATGTATAAAGAACAGCTATGCCATTTTCGTAGGAGTTTACCAGCGACAGGTTTAATTATTAAGAATAAATACTTTCCATGATTGGTTTCTGAATACTCGCTAATTTAGCATAATATAATGTAGCAATGTAAATTTGAAGGACTAGGAACCAGTACGACATATGATTATGTTTATGTATATGCACATAAATGTTAATTAGATACAATTCTCAAACTAATAGAAACGAAGTGGGTTCTCTTACTGTTAAGGGCATGCTTAATTTCTTAGTAAAACATTTTGGCTTATTTGCAATTGCGCTCTATTCACATGACAATAAGGAAATAAACTATCAACTTACAAATTAAACTTTTCGGCATCGAAAACTAACCAACTTTTGTGGGCAAAACTATTTTGCGATTATTTTTTTTTTTTTTGTATTCTTATCAAGCGGAACGGCCATTATAAAGGAATCGTATATGGGGATACAAATCTCACAGAATCTAACTAAGTCTTAAGGTGACTGAACAAATAAGTTATTAAATATGAATCAGGTCTGGGTTTCCATAACATATTCTGGGCTATCCGCCCTGCTGTTGCTTTTTCTTATCGAAAATTGGAAGCTTTGATCTGACCGCACCCTCGCACACCATCATCCTTTGCTGCGCTGGTTTCTTGTCCAGATCGAAGCACAGGGCATCCGGATTCAGGTGCCGCTTGAAGTCCGAATATCGACGTGACTCGTACGAAAGGTAATTGGATCCCAGCGCTGACGCGGCTACAGCAGCAGCCACCGTTCCGTTGCCATTGCGATGGTGCATCGATGGAGGCGAGGAGTCCTGTCGCTTCCTCTCAAAATACTCTACAATCTTGGCGATCTGCGCTGATCTCGTACTAGGCAGCGCCGTGAAGGAGCGGTCATCCCACAGCAGTGAATCGGAACCCGCTAAGCTGCTTATGTCATCTGAGCTATCCGTGTATATGGACGAAGTTCGGTTCTTACAATACAACAGTTGGTTCGTTGCAAATGGACTTCGCTGTAGTAGCGTGTGAATCTCAGAGTCCAAGGCCAGCCGGTTAATCAGGCCTGCCGTAGCCGCCATCTGGGAATCACTACCATTTCCACTCAGCAAGGCATGGTGGCACGTATAGCGTCGCTGGTGTGTGGGCCGCGATGCCACAATATCGGGGTCCAAGTCGTCCATCGAGTCCAGCGCTGTGGATGATGAGGTGTTCCCACCGATCAGCGCAGGATCGTTGTCGATGAGCAGCACCGACGACGAGGTCGAGGATGTGTCGTGGTTCTGCTGTTGTTGTTGGGCCGCAGCAGCGGCAGCAGTTACGGCGGCATTCGATGTGGAGGTGGCATAGTAGCAGCAGCGACACAGACTCGCAAGTTTATCGCTAAAAGATAAGATACGGAATCAGTAAGCGGCAATAAAGGATACAAGTAGAGACCCTACTTAACTTAACAAAAACATTCCACAAACAGTTTAATAGCTTTTTCAATGTTTTATGGTTTTGTGAAGAATACTGGCTAATAAGATGATTTTACACAAATACCACGTCAAGCTTTGGATATTTTTGGAATATATAAGTGACTTTTATGATAGCGTGATTGCAATGCCTTTAGCAAAATAAGTCACTTACGTGGTTTGTGCGTTAGGGGCTCGATATTTATACCATGGCTGTGTTTAACCTGGGATATGCCGAAATAATTACCATATATTCAACATTTAAAGGTATTCTATTTGTAAAAGTATATTTGAAGTTCTTTTAGCTAACATTTAACATCTCATTTCATTTTAATATTTACAACGTTTGGAAAGATCTAAATCACATTCGTATATATAAATATGTACTAAATTTTTCTCTTTCCTTATAAAACACGGAAGTTAGTTTTCTGTTGTAAGAGATCTGATATACTCACTTGATTTCACTATCTGCGCTGACGCATGCATCGAGCATTAGCTGCGTCTTCAACTTCTCGTAGCAACAGTTGCTACTGTTGCCCCCGCCGCCGCAACCAAACCCCAACGACCCAATCCCGTTCAGCTGCCGGCCGAAACTGTTGTTTGTTATCGCCGCATCCGACTCTTCGTTGAAGCACGAAAAGAAACCGCTTTCTATGGAGTCCCGTCTCGTTAGGTTCGTCTTCAAGGGAAGCTGCTCGCACGAGTTCTTCAGATCGTTCAGGTCGCAGGTGTTCTTCAGTTCGTCGAGCTCATGATCCGTGCAGGATGAAACGGACGCCGGAGTTTCTACCAACCGCGCTGAGCAGCCGGATATGGGAGTGGGGGAGGCTAGGGCTGTGGGCGTTGCATTGCAACTCGTTTGGTCTTTCGATTTCTTGGCGTTTTCAGTCAGATCCTCACAGGAATTAGACGCACCCACTGAGGCAGTCAACGTAATGGTCGACGCACTGGCTTTCAGTAGAGCTGGACTCTCAAATTCGCTGGTGCTGGTACTTTTCATGCTGGTGCCATTGGGGCCACGAAAAAGCGGATGCGTGTACAAGGAATTCGCGCGATATTTCCGAGCCGTTGGCACGGTGGACGGTCGCACAGCACTGTCATCGCTGCTGGATTCGGCATCCGCACAGTTGCCGCCACCATCTGGATCCTCCCCTTCTGAGGTACAATCATCGCAATCATCCTCTTCCGCTGGTAATGTTTCTGCTGTTGGTGGTGGTGGGGCACTCGTAACTGGAGGAGCAGCATTGCTTATCCGCTGCGGTAGTCTTAGTTCGATGGCGCTGTACTTTCGCGTCATATGCGGTGACACCGGAAGGCTCTTTGGTTCACTGGGCGTTGCTGGTGTTGCCGTGGCAGCCGGGATTCCAGCTGCTGATTCATCCGTACTCGTTCCTCCACCCTGTGCGACCGCCTTGCTCTGCATGGCGGCCAATTCCTTGAAGAACGGCGCCAGCATCTCGAAGCATGAACTGAATAGGTCTCCTACTCCTGCTGCATAGGTCTTTGGATTGGCGTCCAGGATCTTCTTAACGCCCCGCAGCTGCGCCAGCGCTTCGAACGGATTCGGTTTAGAGCCATTGTGATCCTTTTCAGATGTCGGCTTGTACTGTGGATCCTTCAGACACATCGTTTCGCCCACCTTGCGCAGCGTAAGAACCGCTGGAACTGGTTGAGGAAGTGGTGGCGGATCTGGAATAGCCGTGGCGGGCAATTGCACCGAAGTTAGCTGCCTTGGTGGCGTTGGTGAGTGAGTGGAGGAACGTTGGCGCTGCATCTGATGACACCGCGCCTTGTCGCTGGGTGACGTGTGCATGGGAAAGTGGATAATGTTCTCGCTCAGCGAGCGCCGGTGCAGCAGGATCTCGGCCTCCAATTTCTGAGTGGCCCGTCGCACCCTAGACTTTCAATACATGGTCATCAAACCCATTGCTTCCGGCTGATCCATTTGGCGTGCAGGGCAGCGCAGCCGAGGCAGACTTTTTACTCGGGAATCGAAAGCCGTCCTCATCGACTTCTTTCAGATGGCGTGGTGTTAGAGTGCCAGCTGGAGCAGTGCAAATGGTGGCCACCGTTGGTGCTGATGCCCTGGAAGTTGTCATCGTTACATTCTCCGTGTCGCTGCCTCCTGGAGAACAGGTGATCAACTCCAGGGAACTAAGTGGACTCGCTCCGGCCGACGACTCGTGCTCGTACTTCTCCAAGAGCAGAGTCAACTTTTTGGTGGCATCGTGGAAAGTGGGGCGGCTCTTAGCATCGTACTGTAAATAAATTAAGCGGATTAGAATCATTCTTACACTAATGACAATCCAAAAAACTCACCAGACAGCAGTAAAAGGCCAGGCGTAGAAAGACGGGGGGTGTATCCATGGGACACAGCTCAACAAAAGCCAGATAGTCCAATCCAAACGAAGCAGTGCGCGGCATCATATCAGGATCCGCTTCAATGCGGGCTATAATCTCGCACTGGATGATGCCGAAGGAGAAGACATCGCTCGTCTGGTCGTACCACTGGCCCTTCAGGCACTCCGGACTCACCCAATACGGTGATCCAACAGTCTCCAGGCGTGATTTTCTGCTGCAAACAAGCCCATTTAGGGATTAGTTGAATGGCAACTTGATATTTAGACCAGGATACACTTACGATTTAACTGGTATCTTCGCGGCTAGACCAAAGTCACCCACTACGGCTTCATACTGATCGTTGGCCAGATTGCGAATAAGTACATTCTGGAACATGACTCGGATTAGGACTGGAGCTCATTGCTATTCCAGGCAGATAGTGTACTCACCTTGCTCGTCAGATCTCTGTGAAATATGCCGGCGTCGTGGACGTAGGACATGCCGCGCGCTATACCCAGCGCCAGTCTTATCTTCTGTGTGGCGCTGAGCACCACCTCCTTGTTGGCCAGTAGCTGCTCCAGGGAGCCGCCGTTGATGTACTCGGTCAGGGCGTGCAGTTGGCCCTCCTGCACGCAAACGCCCATAAAGCTGAAAAAACGATAACAAAAAGAACTCAATGAGTAAAAGTTTGCCACTGCTGCATTGCAACTATTTGGTGTAACCCGAATAAGTTTCACTTTCAATCAAACTACTCTTGACGGGCACTGAATGCAACTCCCCACGGACTCCAGATTTCTTATCGCCGGTCGACATGCAATCCGGCCACCCCCCACTGATTGTTAGCATTGTTTCAGCCTTGATTCGATGCAAAATGAAATTGTAATTCGAAGCCCCCGATGCGGCGGCAGGAGCACGCAATAAAAAGAGAAAGTTTTCCCTTGACTGGACACTCAAACAAACATACAGCTCCTTGGGAATGTGGCGATATGCAATGGAATCCCCTAGGAGTTACAGAACAAAGAAACCCTCTTCCTAAGTAGCACTCATCTCTGCTTCCTGTTCAGACAATGTCAATGACTCCTAAGCCCAAGGAGCTCAACAGCAGCCACTACTGACTCATTCCAGGAGAGGGAGGACAAGTTGAGGTCACCAAGCCTTGGGAACCGGAACTGTAAGCTTATTAAGAAAATGGCAACGCATGCGTCTACCGCCTGCTAACTCCTTCCTCGAAACACAGAATGTGCAGTCAGGTAAAAAAGGTTAACTGCCGCCAGACAGTTCTAACAACGATGCTCTGAGGTGACAATGAACTTTTGTGGAAGTATAAAACCATGCCAGGTTGCATCATAACATGGATACCCTAATGAAGTTATATAAGACAAACGTTCTTCTTTGGGAAAAGGAGTGCAACTTATTATATTAATAGATAAGCTAAAAAACAGGAAATCACCATTACCCTTAGTTTACTTATTATTTTTTCATATAACGATGATCCTTAAAAAAAGCGCACTTGAAATAAGACATGATTTGGGTCATCATGGTGAGATATATCTATGGAAATATATACAAAAATATTCCAAACCGATTAGACCATGTGACTCAAGTCCCGTGCAGGTGTTCAATACCAAAACCAATTGCAATTTTGATAAGGGTTCACCTCAAATTCGTCTTCTGTACGTCTATAATCGGACGTACAGGCTTTATCTCCGCACATGCTTCATTTGGACAGCCCCAGGTTAAAGCCATGGCCCAAAGCACTTGCCAAATTGTTCCGAACTCTGCGTCGTGTGCCAGATAAGCTTTATCGTCCGCCATTCTGCCATGCGATAGTCCACTATACTCTATATACACTGTATATATATATATTGTATAAGCTCATTCAGAAAAACCCAAGTGGCGTTTGAAATGTTTGATTTACACTTTTATACCCGATCGGGCCATTAATTTTCACTTATAGTAACAATTTATTTAATTAGGTTAACCGCAGACCATCAAATCCTTAATAAATTTCTCAAATGATGTGTAGGGCGGAAATAATTGCTTCGAGCACGCAACCTGTCACCCCATCTCTGGCCCGGAATAGACACCTTTCTGTCAGGCTGTCAATAAGGCTCTGACAGGGTCTCCGGGGTGCGACTAGGCGCGTGACGTCAGCTCGGCAATGGCAATCAAACGTTATGGCCTAACCACCCCCAGGCGCCTCATAACCACATTCAGAGGTCTCTCCACGCATTAGCATACGAGAGTTGCAAAAGGGGTTGGCCTAGACCGACCACCAGTTGCATCTCTTTGTGCCGGCGTTAACCGACTTGCGTGATATGCGGCATTAGGAATCACAGCAGCCTGATAGAACCAGCACCAGAGCCCTTCGGGGGAAGCTTAATTGAAATCAGTCGGGTCACTGGCTTTCCGGCATTCAATCCTAGACCTGAAGTTCAGGTAAGGGAGAAACAGTGAAACCTATACAACATGAACTGATCTTATGCTTAACAAGAAAGTTATTCTTTATAATAGACTTTTAATTAACGAAATGTTATCAATTATACTGTTTTCGTTTTGAGTTAATTGAGCCATCTCCATATAAAAATAGTTATTAATCGTTTTCATCGGAAAAATCAAACTATAAAAGGAAGGGCTGACTGCATTTATGCATACAAAACACTATTACGCTGCACAAAAAATAATAATAAATATGTCTTGGGCAAGAGGGCATGACCCTTTTGAGATTCTTGATAGATGCCACGCCAGTGTGTGGCAGACACATGTCAGCCCTTCAGACAACCCAAGGGCTCGGCTCAGCGCGGATCTGAAATGAAGTTATCACAATGGCGAGACACAGCTCGATCCCAGGTGTTGAAGGCAGGGGCTGCTCCAAGGCCCTGAGGGTTTTTTTTGTGTCTGCCGCACATCCTCTCTACCGAATGAGACACACCTCTACTTCATGCCTCCTTCCACACCATGACAACGACTCGTGACCGTGGGTGCAAGCAAGCTGCACTTCCATTTGCATGACCATCGCCGGGATTTACGGTTCTAATTCAATTTATTTCCCTGCGTGATACACGATTAGCGCCCCGAGTGAGTGCTCCTTACCTCATGTCCCATGCCCCATGCCCTTTTCCTGCCCATTAGCGGCTTACATTAAGAGGATTTGCCTCCAGTTAACACCTTTAATGTGCGCTTTAAGCCGTTCTCAGCTCAACATGGCTCTGAATAAGAGATTTGTTGACAGAAAGGATTTCACTTGGTTAGAATCTCTTAACTTAATTGAAAAGTACAGAAATCAACTCGCTTAAGAAAAAGAAAACCAAATTGAAAGCCTGTCGACAATGTTTGATTGCACGAAGAGTACTTTGTTAATTGGGCAATTAATTTATACCACATTCATCAGACTGGGTGCAAAAATGTTATTTTCGGAACGCCAAAAGATTAATTAATTATCAAAAACAAAAAAAAAAAGGAAGAAAAAAGCGAAAACAAAGCCTTTTGTAGTGGGCGTTGCCAGACATTGAAAGGCGGCAAGTTCGTCGACATCAAATTGGCTGGAAATGCAAATCAGTAGCTGGCCAAAAGGGGGAAGGAGGACGAGATCCCGGCAAAGGTGTCTCTATACACTCTCTAGCAGGAAATGAATACACGTCGAGTGCCTAGGCTTTTGCCCACTTCAAGAGCTGCAGCTGGAGAAGAAGAAGATGATGATGCCGAGAGCAGGAAGCAAGAACTACTCAAGCGGCTATAAACCTCTGAAACTGCCGAAGAAGCATTGTTCTCGCCAGCGTTTAGATTTCCAATTTGCTTTTTTGTTTTTTGTTTCTCGCCAGCATTTTCTCTAGATTTCCCTCTGCAGGCAAGAGATGTGATTGTGTTAAATTGAAATGTGCTGCTTTTTCTGGGTGTTACAATATTTGTTACAAGCATTTCACAGTTTTCCCGGGAAATGGTGTTTTCGTATCACAGTCAGTCGACAGTCGCAGTCGTCGGCAGCCGGCATTTCTCTTGCAAGTTGCAATGAAAACCATAAATTGACACGTTTGCACGTTTCTCTCGGGAGACTGCGCCAATTGGTTTCCCAGACTTTTCGCAGACGGAGCCAAATAAGCCGCTAACTGCCGCTGGCCAGGCCAGGCCAGCTTACTCGCAGTTATTAAGATAGGCTAATAAAATGCAAAATCCCGCTTGGAATTCTTTCACCCGTGTGTTGCAACAACTCGCCACTTAGGCATTTTATGTTGGCAAATCGAATTGGAGCATTAAAGTATTTTGCGCTTAATTGAAAATTATTACCACAACATCAACGGCAGCGGCAGCAGCAAAAGAAACAGAGCAACAACAACAACAACAACAACAACAGCAGCAACAGAAATTGCAACTCCAGCAGCAACGGCACGATCGCTGGGGTTAAAAGGTTGACACAAAGTAAACAAAATTCGCTTTTAGGCAAACAACAAATAACCCAAAGACCAGGCCCAATAATACCAACTTCCAAATGAGACGGTGGCAGTGGAGCAGCCCGAAGGCGTGGCAATGGGCGTTATAAATGGTCCTAAACGCTGCCAACTGCAATTACCATTCGGCATTTGCAACAACAACCGGGGAGTAAGAGCAACAGGAACAGGCAACAACCACAGTATTTCGAAATGAAATGATTGAATTTGGTTTTCAATTAGAAAAATATGCAAAACGTGATGCGAAAATTATGCAGATTGCAGCTGCAACAGCATCAGCAGCAGCAGTAACAGCAGCAACAGCAGCAACATCCAATATCGAATAGTAGCTGCCACTACTTCCTCTTCTTGTTTTCACTGCTGACCGATTTCCTAGCCTCATCTGCAGCAGGCCCAAAAAGAAAGCTGATGTATGGAGAGGGTGTTGCATAAATCTGAATATCTAATGCTCGCTTTTTGTTGTGCAAAATTGATTGAAGTGTATTGAAATTGATTGAAAGTTGATGACATAATTTCGTACGAGACGCAAAAAGACAATGGCCAAACGCAAACGCAAACGTAAACGCAAATTGGAAGTGAATGTTGGCAGCCGGGCCAAAAAGACGCCATCAGTTTGTTGGGTGAGAGATTTTTTATGGGACATCGGCCTGCCTGACACGTTTATTTACCATTTTATGGCATTTTTTCTTTTTCGATGCGGAAGTTGACAATTACAAGTGCGATTTATGCAGACAAATATGAGAAGATTTATAGCTGGGGAGATAAACTAACGAAAAATCCAGCAGCAGTGAGTAATTGCTGTCAAGAAACTTGTTACAACATGGCTAAAAAACACACGCAACTAACTACATACAAAACGGAATGGAATGCATCAAGGCAGCTCATTAAATTCCAATCTGTATCTGCATCTGTCGCGCATTGTGAGATACATATTACTCATGCTCAGTTTTTTTCGGGGAACATCAATCCTCCTCCTCCTCCTCCTGCTGCTGCTGCTACTGCTCTGCTCTTCTTTTTTATATACTTTTACATGTGTTAGCTCTTACAGAGACACAACAACGCTACATTGTATGTAATAATAATACAGTAAGTTCAATGACTTGCAATTGCGTTGTGTCTTGTGTGTTATTGTGGCTGAGACATAAAGCATTACCGAAAATAAAAGCAAAATAACATACCCCAATTTGGGTCAGTGAGTTTTAG